ACGGCCCCTATGTCAATACGTTGTGAGAATGTGATTGGTATCAGGTCCCATGGGGTTTCGTACAGTTCCAACAACAACTTAAATTTTGAGAATTGTATTGTTTTATATTTTTATTATTTTATTATTTCCCTTCTACGTGACTTTACCGAAAGAACCAAGAATAACAACAACTATTATTAATATTTACTCGCCAGCTGGCCTCCCTGTTGATGTTCTATGAATCAGGGACAAGTGGTCGAAACGTCACCTCTTAAATTTTTTTACTTTTAAGGCCACAGTGTTATTGTAGAACGTGTTCAATTGCTTCAATTTTGTTATGCGTGCTTGTGCAACACTGCCATCGCAGCAGAAGCATCACCGTATAGGTTGATGCAAGTGAGTAAGCAGCCTTTGGTATGCGTAATTTACAGCACGCATGCAGTTGTGCAGTTGTGCAGGCGTGCTGTCTTATCATCAGATAGATGCCGCCTTTGGTCTTCTTTTTGTGATTTGTTTTGACATCAAAAAAGAAACCAAGTAATGGATTTTGTTTCCCTTTGTCAAGCGACTGCCGTTGACTTTCAAAGTGATTATTTGGGGCAAGTGGTGACGTGCCGCTTTGTACATTAGAGAAAGGACTTTGAAGCTGGCCACAGCGCGAAACGGCGCAGTGATCACTATGGGAACCTCATTTGCCAGTAAAAATATGATATTTCATTTTTTTACCCTTCTATCTGGCAACAAAACTGAGACCTTTTTACAAGGAGTCATGTTTGCATAGACCGCAATACCTGCAGTCATAATACAAACAAAAGAACATAACTCTGATAATGTGCACTGTCCTTGAAGTTGATTGGTCCACACCCGAGACAGCTTTGCTTAGAGCCTAGTCTCACATGGGTTGGACCAGATGACGCCAAAAGGCGCACAACTCTTTGAGTTCACATTATCAGAGTTATGTTCTTTTGTTTGTATTATGACTGCAGGTATTGCGGTCTATGCAAACATGACTCCTTGTAAAAAGGCGCAGTGATCATTTGTAAATTGATGGGGTGTTGTCTCACGAACTAGCCAATGCATCCCAGTGCTCATCGGTTCATGGTTAGATTCCAGATAACAAAATCGGCGAAGTTCGCCCGCCACCAACATCGTCATGAATAAGAAGAGTTCCACGTTACGGTAGTAATACTAATTAAGGATTGTAATCCATATTACGTATCCGCGACGACTGGCGACTGACTCAGTATTGAGCATGGTGTGTATGTAAAAGGTTCCGCGAATCGCCATCATCGTTGTTACTCGGCAGACGCAATACACACGCCGGCGATGTCAGTAACGGAAGCGTTGATCGGAAGAAAAAGTCAGACTGCTGGACATATCACCCCGGGTCTCTGCTGTGCACGAGACGGGAGTTCGTCCTAAAAAACAAACCGGGGGTGATTGACCTCTGTCTAAATAAACAATTTTCCCAGGAAAGGAATCGCTCCTCGGCCAGACCGAGGCGACCGACTGTCACAGACACTCTAATGAGCGTCTGTCTCGCTCTCACGTGCTAACAAGGAGACCCGCCAGGCAGCGCCACGAGGTGTCTGGTTGTCCACAGTTTGCGTGGAGCATTTGGCGTGCAACATCTGCGAGGATATACTAGACTCGGGAGAACAGAATCAAACAGTTTCGCCAATTATAGCGGTGAGCTTACATTTAATATATAATAGGTGATGGCCCTTGACAGTACATGTAAAGGTAGAGAGTGGCCTCTCTGTGTGCTGTCCAGGAGGGCCAATAGACCCGAAACATCGCCTTTTGTATGTTTTTATATTTAATGCCGCGGTGATATTGACGAATCTATTGATTTAATTTTACGTGTTGTGTTAGTGCCACCACTGCCAACGCATACTTACGCCTATTTCGGAGGGCTGCAATTGCAAGAAGTTTTATTAGCAATGTGTTTTTTTGATCAGCTGAAAAGATAACCACATTTTGTTTTTACGTCGGCCATATAAATAAATCGGCCCCACAAATATTGTGTTTTGCTGGTGGACCGGAGGAAGAGTTGGGTAGAGCCCTGCACTATGAACCCGACCGTTTGAGTTGAATTCCCGGCCACGGCTACCGTTAGTGGCGAGTGATATCCGAACCGGTCGTGAATATCCACTACTGTATACCTTTCGACAACCCGCCCGAACCAGCGTGATGAAGTATGGTCAATAGACTTCAATGATTTGTGTGGTTAATAAACTCTATGATTTGTGCGGTCAATAAACTTATATTATGTGTGTGCTCAATATACGTCTATTTTAACGCGACATACAGCAGGCCCATATATTTTAAAAGTTGTATTGTCTCCTTAAAATTCCTTTGTAGCAATACCATTATCATCACCACCACCATGGCGAACATATGAATCTCGGTGGTGTGTACGTGTGTACAGGTGAGTGTGCAAAAAAAATACTCATCTGATACGGAAATATCTACAGATTGGATGGATGGATAAATAAATGAATGTATGGATGCGTAGATAGATGGATGGATAAATGGAAAAAATTGTGTTTGCGTGAGTGGATGGTATAATGGCCGAGCAGATGGATGGACGCGTGGATGCTTAGAGCGATGGGTGGAGTGATGGAGAATTAAGATCGATGGCGGGGAGGTTACATAAGTCACGGTTGTCACTCGGACGTTGCACGTCTGAGTTCCGAGCGCAAGCTTGCCGGTGTCCAATACACAATCACGTCTGCGCAACAACAAAAAATGTAGCGTCCGCTTCCGAATGATTGCGCTCTTCCCTTTTCCACGGCTGCACGTCTCCCCCCCTCCAGACTCAAGCAGACAACATAATCCCATCCACGTGCTCGCCCTCACCCCCGTGTCGCCCACCGCCTTTCGCCTCCTACCACGATCCTTGCAATACACAAGCCGGGTGGGAGGAGGGCGGGGGGCAATTAGTGGAGGGCGATTTCGTGTGGAGTGTCATTAGTCTGAAGGACACAAGGAGAATAAATTCCCGCTGAGGCTGCCAAAGTTGGTTTAAGTCAAAAGAGAGACGCGTCTCATTCACTTTCCTTATCTTAACGGCCAAGCGAAATCATAAACAACATCGGAACGCTTACCACTATACTATTTTTTTTTCCCAGGTAAAGTCAACTGAGCCATACAGCTTTTTTCAGAAACGACCTGGCCGCAAATGGTAGCTCCAATAAGTGGCTTATCATTTGGAAATGTATAGCAGCCCAAGACTCTAAATGCGTGATGTTGATTCTAAATATGGAGGGGAAAAAACGGAGGCCCCTAAAACAAATCCACACGACCACGTGGAGAGACGCGCAAACTTCAAACATACAGCAGGCGTCAGGGTCGAGATCGAACCCACCACCACCTCCTGCACACCAGGCGAGGAGGCATCACGGTGGCGATGTGTTATTGTGGTCGGGTTTTCCCTCCACAGCGAGTCTCTGATTAAAAGGGCACTTTTAACGAAGTGTTATTGTAAATTGTGTGTTGAATAATTTTTACGTAAGGTAGAGTGGGCCCCCCTCCCCCCCCAACGCTCAAAAGGAAACGTTGACATCTCTGGCAGATTGCATGCCGCGTAATATAATATAATATAATCGCGCGTCGATTTGTAGCGTTTATTTTCTTTTGTTTGCTGGTGACTGTATTTCATATTGAAATCGCCTCCAGTGGTTTTGCTGCTGGCGGCAATAAAAGTTGTTTAAAAGTCAAAAAAATATATATATAATCGGGAGGAGCGGTGGGTGCAGTGGCTTCACGCACTGCGCTTTGACTGCGACAAACCATGTCTGCGATTTACGGACACGGCTCACATCAGTGGCGAGTGACATGATCTGAATCCCATACTTGGGTTCCCCCTCCCCCCCTTCACCAGTCCGCACTCACTGACCAGCGTGGTGAAGTATGGCCAAACAACGCCCAAGGGGAGACTTTCATTCAGCAGTAGAAATGTCACGTGCCCGTAAATTATTATTAAGTGTCTATTTTGCCACCACACTTTATATAAAGCGTCGGAGAATTATTTTAGTGTTAATTTTGGAGTTTTCGTGACTGCAGGAATTATTCTTTGGTTCTTTCGGTAAAGAGACGACCTCTCTCTTTGTGCCGATACGTGTTCTCTCTCTGTGTATCTTTATGATGTCTGTCTGCTTATATATCTGTCTATAGTTTTCTGGTTAGATTTTTGTTGCTAGTTCTTTTATACCTGATGATTATTGCTTGTGTTGCTATCGAAACGTCGTAGTATGCTATTATTTAATTTATTATTTTATCTTTATACGTGACTTTACCGAAAGAACCAAAGAATAATTATTTTAGTGGTGGAGCTCTGCTCCTATGTGCTGTGAAGAAGTTCCACTGCCGGAAACGTCTCCTATTATAAACATCTTAAAGGCAGCGTTCGTTGGCAAAATGCGTTTTTCTATATAAAGCTTTGATCAGTATTGTTCGTTTGCATCGTATCGCGGCTGGTTAGAGTGCGCGACAGACGTGTTTATGACAATTACCTTGACTCGCTCACTTGTCGATACTCAATTACAAGTGGGATCCCTTTACCATGAGAATTATCCGTATCATCATTATCACCACCACCACCACCACAGTCAACTGACTGAAGTCTTCAACAACAAAGGGCGGCCCGGTGTGCACTTCAACGTGGCCAGGAAGCCGTCCTACGTGGTGTATTGCGAGGCGTTAATTATACACCGCCGAGACACTGGCGGGAGGGAGGGGGCGGCGGTCAGAGATGAAGGGCGGCGGTGGGTGGCGATGGGGGTTGGGGGGGAGTTGAATCGTTTTTTGCGCGTCTTACTCCTGCGTATAAATCAGGGACAAGCTCAGCAGAGGTCGTCAGTCTCCGCCACCGATCCGTCGCCACCTATCTCCAGTCCTCTCCGCTGCTCACATTTTCGCGAACCCGCGAACTTTTCCACCTGCCTCTCTTTACCTATCACCGTCTCCTCGCCTCCTCTTCGATTCGATCTGCCTCTGCCTTGTCTCGTGTGCTCATAATGACGGCGGCCCTGATGATGATGATGACGACGATGACGTTTATGATGATCGTCGCGTTGGTGGCGGTGGTGATCCCTGGAGCCCACGGCTACCTGGAGGAGGAGGTTAAGGCCTCGCTGCTCGGGGCACTGGGTCTGAAGGAACCTCCGCGGATCGAGAAGAGGGACCTGGAATCGGTGATCGTTCCGGCCGCGGTGCGGGCGCGCTACGCGACGATGCTGCAGAGACACCACGAGAGGAGTCGTCGGAGTCTGCCGAGTCTTGCCGGCATCTTCCGCGGACTCCGCGGCAACGCAGGTGAGAGTGCGGGGGGAGGAATGCGTGTTCACCACGATCGCCGTTACCGCGAGGAGCACCCACCTCGCATGCAGGGCGCATCGTGCGAGAGAATGCGTTGGCGAGCGGTGAGACGTGCTCACAACGCGGTGCGCGATTCGCGTGAGATGGGGCGTTCAGAGCGCGCGAGGCAGTTGGGGAGAGCGCGCACCAGAGAGAGAGATTGCGTAAAGTGAATACATGAAATGGTGATGCTGCGTTGGCGTCGGTGCACAGGCACAACAAACGTAGCGACATTCGGCAATAACAGGGGCTTTTAAACACAACTAAATATATAATAGGAGACTTTCCGCGTGGTCTGAAGTGAGGGCCGTTGTCCGAAGCTCCCGCCTGTTACATGTATTGTAATGTAGCGCTGTGAAGGGCTATCGCCCGAAATGTCGCCCGTTTTATATTGCTATTGCTTTATTGACGAATGTGTTGATGAATGTGTTGATGAATGTGTTGATGAATGTGTTGATGAATGTGTTGAGGTTTTGTTGTTGTTGTTGCTGAGCAATGTCACTATCCACCGCCGCCGCCGTCGTAATCATCAAAATTGCCATCACAATCAGCATCACTGCCATCATCTCCATGCAGGTTGGTCATGTTCAGACGAGCAATTGTGAGCTTCTCCGTAATCAAAATGGATTTTGAATCATTCAGTGACTTTTCCGTCGAGTGTGTTCGAGTTACAACTCCACTCCCGCTCGCTTCTGCTGCGAGTCGATATATTCTCGACTTTCAAATTACATCACTTAACCGAAGGAGCCCCGCTCTTTGTGGGTGACACTTTGCTGGGAACAATACTAATTCGGTTTGGATATATTGTGCATTGGATGGCGCAATGCTTCGTGCGCCGCGTTACAAACCCTCAGGATATGCTGATTGATGTGAGTGTGTATTCGCGTGCGCGCTGTCGTGCCTGGGTTCATCCGCGTGTCCGCTGGCGCATATGTAGACTCTGTGCCGTATGTTGATGGGGGCCTGTGGTGAGCGCGTCCGGGAATCCTGCGACTCACGCCCAATATTCAGTGGGCAAATAAATAGATATGTATATCTGGGGGCCACCTCGTAGCCCCGAGTCTTGCAACAATCACACAGGAGGTTACTTCCCGGACGGGTCTCTCTCCCACCACCCCACCACCACCAGCTCACCTCACCCAGGTGACGTTAATAAAACCAGACTCGGGCCCGATGATATCATTGCGAGCTCGGGTGCACGCCCTCGGATGAATGGTCGATGTTCTATGAGCAAGGGCCACTTAGAGCCGCGGTGCAATCGCGTCTAACGAGACGCGCGCGTGTGTGTGTGTGTGTGTCCTCCCCCAAGACATTGCGGGCGACGTAGTGTTCGAGGACGCGACGCGCCAGCGGCTGACGTTCGACATGAGGGACCGCATCCCGGACAACAGCGAGGTGACGTTGGTGGAGCTTCGCCTCTTCAAGACGGCGCCCGGTGGGGCCTTCAGCGCAGCTGCGCAGAGGAGACACGCGCGGCCCGCTAACCACGCGCGCGTCAGCGTCTTCTGGCTGGAGGAGCCGCTCGTGGGGGCGATGAACCGCTCCACCCTGGTCGACTCCAGGTGAGCCGCGTACGGCCAAGCGCCGTCGATTAGATTCGCCCGCAAGTATCTTTGATGGAGAAATTATACAAGCAAGCAAACACGTGGCTTGGGCTGGCCCCCTTGGGGTGTGTGTGTGTGGTCAAGTCGCCAGGGGTAATTGTTGTCGTGCCACTGAGTTGTGTTCGTTCTGTGAAAAACTCTAATGAACGCATTCGCGTGGGGGAATCCTGTGAACAAAACTCGTCTCGTATCAGGGAAGCGCTCTCACACACGGGAGCTTCGCTTTTAGTCACAGCTAATGCAAAAAAAAAAACCCCATGGTTTTCTTGCTTTTCAACACTCCTTCCCATTTTGCTGAAAAATTAAATCAATTTGTGGGCAAATTATCCCACGTGACAACTTGCTTTGATTGGCTATGTCGGTGCATTCATCATGTCACAGCCATAATAATCTGCTCCAACCCAATTACACTCCAGATAATATATTATTTAACATGTATTCACATTTTGCGACCATAGTTTGCCTCGATTTCTATCTTCTTCATTGCTGTATAGATGTCGATTTTTAGCTTTCGTGACTGTAGGGATTCTTCTTGGCTCTTTCGGTAAAGTCACGTAGAAGAGAAATATTGTTTTATTTTTATTATTTTATTATTTCCCTTCTACGTGACTTAACCGAAAAAACCAAGAAGATGCTGTATATATATTTTTTTGCTCGTAATTTTGGTGAATCACAGGCACCCTCGCGCAAACGAGACTCGTCTTGATCTTTACCCCCTCTGTCCTCCTCCTCCTCCACCACCACACAGACTCGTGCCCGTGGGTGACTCTGGCTGGAAGGGCTTTGACGTGACTCAGGCCGTCCAGCACTGGCAGCAGCAGCGAGGCGACGCTCCCCTACGATTGGAGGTGCGCGTCGAGGGCGAGCGGCCGGGCAGCCACGCCGCGCACATGGCCTCGCTGGTGCGATTCACACCGCAGGAGACCGGCGAACAGCCGCCCATGGGCAAGCCCGAGCTGGTGGTGTACACCCTGAACCTGGCCGAGTACGGGTAAGAAGAGTTCCCGGCCCGAGTGGTCGTGTTGGGTGTACGCACGGTACATGACGTTGAACTGTTTGCGCAACGTACGGAGCCAAGCGTGCTCATCGGAGGCGCGGGGCGAGGACGATACACACAAAGCGCAGTTGTAAATAAATTATATTTGTCATTGAATATTGGATGGTGGAACCTTGGGACCGACGACGACGATGATGATTATTATATTTTCCTTTTAAGACAGTGTTGTTGACAATGTAACACGTAGGCTTTCGCGACCAATAATATTCACGACAAAAAGTTGTTATGTGTCAGATCGCGTAAAACGTTCTGTTCTAGCGACGACGATCATTCAAGACGATCAAATCCGACGACGATACTTCATCATCATCAACCTGATCTGTCGCAACCTCTTTCATCATCATCATCATCCTGTTCCCTCGTAACCTTTCATCATCATCATCCTTATCTCTCGTAACCTTTCATCATCATCCTAATCTGTCGCAACCTCTTTCATCATCATCATCGTCATCCTGATCTATCGCAGTCTCTTTCATCATCATCATCATCCTGATCTCTCGTAACCTTTCATCATCATCCTGATCTTCGCAACCTTTCATCATCATCATCATCCTGATCTCCGCAACCTTTCATCATCATCCTCATCATCCTTATCTCTCGAAACCTTTCATCATCATCATCCTGATCTCCGCAACCTTTCATCATCATCCTGATCTCTGCAACCTTTCATCATCATCATCCTGATCTCTCGTAACCTCTTTCCCAACGTTCCCTCCCCACCCACCACCCCCCCCCCCCGAACAGCGGCCGAGGCGACTGCGAACTCGATTCATCGCACCCGGACCACGCCTGCTGCCGCGGCCACAACTTCATTAACTTCCGCGAGCTCACGTGGACCCAGTACTGGGTGCTGGAGCCCGCGGGCTACGAGGCGTTCCGCTGCACGGGCGGCTGCCGACAGCCGAGGCCCCTCCACTCGATGTACGGGCCACGCCACTGCTCGCCTGTGGAGAGCTCCCCGCTGCCCATGATGTACCTGGTGAAGAAGGGCGACTACACGGAGATTGAGGTGGCCGAGTTCCCCAATATGATCGTCGAGAAGTGCGGCTGCGCCATGGACAACATCTCCGTGGTGTGAGAGGGGGGCTGTGGTTGGGTCGATCGTGTCTCGGGAGGCCGTCTCATCTCATGTGTCTCGTGTCTCTCTCTTATCTCTCTCATTTATAGTCTGTCTCACCTGGTCATCTCTTCATTTCTTTCACATCTCATCTTTTTTCCATCTCCATCATCATTTCCTTGGCGTCATCTCACCATCTCAGCTCGAGTCTCTCCCATCCTCTCTCTCCGTGGTCCACCAGCGACACTCAGATCATCGACGGCCGCGTCCCTCAAGTCAACAAGTTGAAAAGGGGCTCTGGCCTACGGCTCCATTGCACTTAGCGAATAAAAAAGAAAAAAAAATGACCATTACATAAAACACCCGATGAGTTTTGTACATACCGATAACATTCCAACTCTGCCGTAGTGTTTACACTTTTGTAATTTTTTGTTAATCAGTTTTAAACATTTGCCGATGGAATGTTTCACGCGACTGTGAAGATTATGCGCAAAAATGAGGAATAAAAGTTTTCACCATTTACTGTAAATAACATGCCATACTAGTATGTCGATATGCCATGGACTTCGTATTGAACCGGTTTCTTACAAAAGTTAAACCTCGTTTTTTATGCCTAACATGTTTCCCGCCCCATACGTTCGATGGTTTTAAATACCGTCTGAAGTTTCATCTTCTGTAACAAATAAAAAGGTGTACATTGAGTCGGACTTACTGTGGTTGGAATGTGTTTTTCAAATTGGGGAAAAGTATAAATTATTTGGTGACGCTGCTTTGGGTCATTGTGACGAGGTCAAAATTGGCCGGGGGGGGGACGTCTTACCAGGCCTCGAGTCACAGGAAAGTGTCATCAAGGAGTCGTAGCTTAGAAGAAGATGCACTCCATCTCGATTGGTGGGGGCTTTTTATGACGCAGGAAATCAGCACACATCACGATGTCACTTAATCAATGCCGCTCGCTCGATTTATGCACGAAAATACAAAGTCCAGTTTCACATGTGAAGGTCACTTTAATGGGTTGACGATAAAGACAATGAAAGGTTCGATTAGTATGGTAGCGAAAGCTTCCTTTTCTAACCGTTAAGCTATTAGTCGAAATCGCCCCCTATAAGCGTCACCAACCGTGCTACCTCCACCATTACCAAAGTCTCCAAAACAATAAGTGACGATCAAGTTAGCTGCCATCCGTCTTGATAAGGGTCGACTGAATACGCGTTGCTTACTTGCTGGCTAGCTGAGTGGTATTTCTGGATGTAGCAACATCACTTATTGACTCTAGCTCTCTGGCCTATGCGTTATGCACAACGGCCACTTCCATAAATGTCACCCTTTATGGATATGTTTCTTTCTAAGGCAGCGTTATTGACAACGAAAGGGATTAGCCCAATAATAGATGGATGGCTCATTTGCCGATTGCTATTAAATCAATGCACTCGATTGGTTGTGAGCTCACGGATTTCTAGAGATTAGGTTCCTTGGCAGTTAGGGCACAGGTAACAGACATCACCATTGCTGGTTCAGCTAAGGCTACTTTGTAATACAGTGTTTTCCACAGCAATGCTAATCATTGTCTTAACTATTTCATAGTTTTGCGTTAAACACGGATCCATATCTAACAGGGAGGGTCCCCTATAGACATCTCACAGTTCACCAGCATCGGTTGAAGCAAGACCGACCCGCCGATGAGACACTGAACATCAAAACTAATCCAGTTTGTGTTGAACCAATGCGGTTGAAATTATACACAGCCAGACTGATACGCCACTGATGGAATGTGTAGAAGTGTTCTACGTGGAGGGACGGATAGGAGGTGTAATGCCTGTATCTTTATTTTGTTCCTCATCGCTTGGACTGAGTGTGGCTCACACCACACAGCGGTTGTGCGTCGCGGCTCTGTGGATGGTGGAACCGCAGACGCGCACGTAACGGCCGTCGTTCGCCACCCAAGTGGCGGTGACATCACCCAGGGGGGCTCTTGCGCCAGCACTTTTGAAGCTGGCCAAAAAAGCGTCGAAGGCTCGCCTGGCAAGGCCACAGAACGAACCCCAGATGTTCTGGGTTACTGTGGCGCGGCGTGGGCAATGGGTCATCGAGGGAAAGTCTGACGTTGGTCAGCAGATGACGCCCCCAGTGGAGCGCTCGCATTCACCACGGCGGAAAACGAGGGCCCTGGTGGTCCAGATGCACGGTGGGTGGTGACTCCTCCACCGTGAATCTAATTTCCAAAAAATACCACAAAATGCACACACATGCACATCGACAAATGACAGGGATCCCCTAGCGCCTACACAGGGCACTGAACCAAGAGCTGTTTTGGAACATCTATCAAGACTGGTACGGCGCTTGAAGGGGTGGTGTGGCGAGACGCATATTCGGCCGCCTTTGTTTCCCGAATGCTGTTTGCACACACCAGGTACTAATTTAACGCCGAGTCGACCTAGGTGAGGCGCAGGACCGTTTCTTATATCAATCTCCACTGACATTACCCGTGGCCAGAAATGCACTAACCACTGCTCCCTATACACAGCTACACATGCATATTACTCGCGCACGCAAAGAGGCACGTGAACATATCAGTGGCCCGTACGTCCCAACCAAAACCTTGACTTCTTTTGGCCCATTTCCTATCTGGTGCACCTCAAAAATATATTTCAACTTGGAATGCGCCGCACAGTCGTCACTCTCAAAGAGAGAACGACTCAGAGACGCGAGCAACCACGGACAAGCCAGGAGCGGTAGCTGTGTGGGTGAGCTGGTACCAACGATTGCCAAAGTTCTGTGGTCCTCTACATATTAAGATTTTTTTTGTCAGCCAATTAATGAGTGTTTACTCGGTGGCTATTGGTCTTGGGGCTTCCGAATATCACTATGGGGTCATTCTCATTGCTGGTGAACGCTACGGCGGTGTCCATCTCATCGCCGGTGGAATCTCCCGGTGGCGCCGGTTTCACGGCTGGCGCAGCTCGGGGGGAGTGTCGGGCTGGCGGGCGGCGTGGGCGACGCGGAAGGCCTCCAGCTGCTCCAGCGCTCCGTGCACTCTCCGCAACGTGGGGAACGCCGCTAGGTCCACCTTGAACCTGCACCGGCGGTGGTGACACGCGCGCGTACACACACACACCACCTGTTATAGGAATGTGGAGTTTCCCGCAAAGGCTTGGAGATAAGTGCTGCTAGCGGGTGACTTGTTTGAGCGGGAAAACACATTTCAGATTTATTTTTTTGGGGGGCTTTTCAGCCAAATTTAATTCAGATCTCGCGCCACAGGCGTTAAAAGTCGCGAGGTGGGAACGTCGCGAGGCCAAGTGTCAATTTGGAGCCCTCGCCGAGCAGTGCGTCACACCGTGGTGGAAAAACGCTGATGCCAACTATGTCTGTGATGCCTTCCTGCGGCTTTTTATCTAAACACCAAGGACGCTGCACGCTCCCACGCACCCTGCTCTAGAAAAACGCTCAAACCATTGGAAGCGAGACTAATATTTTATTTTAATCAGATTCAGTACTTGGTCCCAGGAGATTACGTCACACATATTTAGAAATTCACTTGTAGAATTGTCTTCATCCACACCAGGGGCAAGTGAGTTTGTCGTACGTCAATAAAACCAAATATTAAATCTCAAGAGTTGGAATTGAGTGTCCATCTCACAGCAGAATATTTGTGAAAACCTCCACAGCACTAATTATTAATCAGTCTCAAATCTAACAAGTTATTATGGGCCTAAGTGAATTTTACTTTGACGTGCATTTATATTTTACTTTTACACTCTTTTGGGTGGTAACTAGTCTAACAGTATTTTGGAGGGGAGGGCGGATTTTTACTCTTGTAATCACGTGCCTACGAATATACAGACCTGCTTGCTTCTTGAAGTTGTCAATTGAGACCTGCGTTGTGAATTGGACACCGAATACACAGACGACCGCGATTGGGTGACTTGTGAATAAGAGACTCGTTTCAATTCTAGAGATGTTGTAAGAGAGGAGTAAAAGGGTGCAAAATATTTGAATGTGGGGCCCTGAAATAATACAGCCCCAAGTTTCCTCATGGAACCTCCTTTGCCAGTACCAAAATATACTAATAGGGGTTTTCCCCTTTTTTCTGGCAACAAAACTGACACCTTTTTGCAAGGAATCATGCTTACATTAACCACAATACTTGCAGTCAAATGCAAACAATACTCTGATAATTTATGCATTGTTCTTGAAACTGATTGGTCCACACCAGAGACAGCTTTCTTTATCATCTGGTCGAACACCATATGAAACTAGGCTCTAAAGAAAGCTGTCTCTGGTGTGGACCAATCAGTTCCAAGGACAATGCATAAATTATCAAAGTATTGTTTTTTGTTTGCATTTGACTGCAAGTATTGTGGTTAATGTAAGCATGATTCCTTGCAAAAAGGTGTCAGTTTTGTTGCCAGAAAAAAGGGGAAAAACCCTATTAGTACAGCCCCAAGTTGTTTATTAATTTCACTCATTCATAGGGCAAAGGTCAGCCGTGAGTTCTTCACTGCTTTAAGTCACGTGCTAAACGCCTCAACGTTTATGACACTCGACGTCAGTGAAAACCAAGGAAATTTGCCTTCCATGGAGTTTTGATGCTAAAGTTGATAGAAATCAGAGATCCCAGTTACTCGTAACAATTAAAGATTAGGCAGGAATTAAAGCGATCAATCCCTGCGGTGGAAACATTATCACTGAATGTAGCAAACGGTTTAATATTATAGTCGTAATAATATTGTTTTGTCTTGGAAAATTCCATCCATAAATGTTGAACATCTGCTATTTATTTTGTTATCTTAATTTCCAGTTGGTTTTGGTCTGCACTGATTTAATAAGGTATCCCTTGCAAAAGCAAACAAAAACCACCAAGGGACCAGAAGTCTCAATTGGCTCCCACCAGGTTGTAAATAAAAGAAGTCCGTTGAATAACGGAGAGTTGGTCAGAGGCACTACGAGCCCAGAATTCCTCTTGGGGCTAGTAGCGCACAAGAGCGTAATGGAACGCGCGCGTGTGTAAGCGTGTGTTGGCCCTGCAGGAGAACAGGACCCCCCCCCACCCCACCCCGTGCTTGTGTATTCCTGCACCCATGCTTGTGTTGCGATCGAGACGTCGTGGCTTTTTATTTTTTTTATTTTTCAGGCTACAATCTACATTATAGACTGCCAGTACACTCACCCAGCTTAATAACCATTGCTACAGTCTACATTCTAGACTGCCAGTACACTCCCCCAGCTTAATAACCAGGCTACAGTCTACATTATAGACTGCCAGTACACTCACTCTGATTAAGAACCAGGCTACAGTCTACATTATAGACTGCCAGTACACTCACCCAGCTTAATAACCAGGCTACAGTCTACATTATAGACTGCCAGTACACTCACTCCGATTAAGAACCAGGCTACAGTATTATTACTATTTGTATTCACTTTGTTTTATTCTATCTACGTGACTTTACCGAAAGAACCAAAGAATGTGTGTGTGTGTATTGGTATGCGTGTGTTTATATCGCTGCATGTGTGTATATATCACTGCATGTGTGCGTGTGTATTGCTGTGCGTGCAGTCGTGTGCACGTACCGTCACATGTAAGTGTGTGCGCGTGTATAGCCGCGCGCGTGCGCGTGTGTGCGTGTGTATTGCAGCTACTTGTCAGCTGGACGCAGACAAGGGCTGCACAAACACTTCCAATACACGAGCCGCCACCATCGACCGCACCCACCACCACCACCCGCCGAGGCGACGCTTATTTAGAGAGCTTAGCGACGGCGGTGTGAAAGAGCCTCCAATTTCTACTCCTACACCACCACCACCACGGCCCAATAGCTTCAGTGGAGGGGGAAGGGGAGGCTGAACACCCTACCCTGCTGAAAGCTCAGAGCCCATTCTAAATCTTACACTCAAGTCAAACAAGGGGAGAGCCTTTCTTGATATACACAGGGGTTGAGAGCTAAAAACAGATCTATATACACTGTGATTTCAAAAACTGGACTTCTGTGAAAAGAGCTCGATGCTCATCGGATTCCTCCAGTAGAAATAGTCTGACTCCGATTCTAAAACCAACGGTTTGATGCAACAGACGACATCGTTACTCATTCTTTCGACAAATTCAACAACCATTCAAAGTGTATTCTTAGGTTTTTTCGGTAACGTCACGTAGGTAAAAAATAAAAATTAATAAAAGTAAAATGCCTCCGAAACGTCGTGATTTTTATTAATTTGTTTCCATTTTACTTTTATTAATTATATTTTTTTACCTACGTGACTTTACCGAAAAAAACCCAAGAATATGAATCCTTGCAGTCACGAAAGCTTCAAATCTAGACATTCGAAGTGTGCTTATTATTCACCGTTTTGCACCCCACCTCATTTCTTGCACGCCCCCATAACCCCTGAAGCAAGGTCACACACGCTACAGGCATGTTGGTTGCACCGCTGCTGCCACCACCACTGCCGCCGCCACCGCTACCACCACCACTGCCGCCACCACCGCTGCCACCCTCGCTGCCAGTTCCCCGAGTCACTTCGATCGTCCCCCACAAGTTTAACGAGCGCAAACCCGACAATTGGCTCGACGGTGTGGTTCAATTTTTAGTTTTTACTGCCGCCCGGAGAATGCGGTCTTTAAACGGACAGTGGATGTCACGGTTCGCGCAAAGCTCGCCATTGTGGGTCACCTTTGTCGTTGGCCAGGTCTCAAAGATGTTTTTCTGTCTGCGCTTGGGAGTCTAGATGTGTTTACATTTTGTGTTGGTATTGTGCGTGTAGTTTGACCCTTGAAACAGCAGAGACTCTTGATCACAAATAGCTATGAACCTGCTCAGAGAGAAAATTTTCTCTCCATCTGTGTGTATATAAGAGGGCGGCCCCCCCACCCCCCAACACCAGGATGCTAAGGCCTAGGGGAAAACTTCCCAGGGGGTCCCGAGATCTCAGGAGGTCCAGCCTGTGTCTGCTTTTAATTAAAATAACAAGTGGCCGTCATTTAAAAAAAAAACCCAAAGTCTGTCTCCGACAAGAGATTGTGTGGCCTTGCTAAGATGGGATTTACCGTTCCGTAAAATCTTAACCCTACTTAACCTCAGTTGCAGCGCTGCATGGCACCGTTTTACCGCAAACCTTTCGGGATATGGTACTAGATCACCTATTAATAAACGTTCCGTTATTGAACCACACGGCCGTACGTGCTCCAAAGTTCGTTTTGTCCACAACATTTGTGATGAATGCGATCGTCAAAAGTTTTTTTGGATTCCAGTCGTCGATGATGACTATGATCGGATGGAGATCATCGTCAAGAGCGATGATGATGATGACAACGGTGATGACTGCCCACCCAAGGCGCGACCGGCTGCGATGAGGAAGACTAAGACCGAAAACGATAATTGTCTGTATATGTATAAAAAAGGTTTCCCGAGTTCACCGATTGGCTAACCTGATAATATTCGGAGGTGGGGACGGAAAGGGAATTGCACGCCCTTCACACCAACATTTAAAAACGAAGGGTGAACAAAATGTTTCACTGCGTTAGTCGACAAAGCCTAAGAGAACAACTAGATGAAATTCACAGGCTAAGACGTGACTGAAATGCCGCAGGTTAGACTGACTAAATGTTTAAATGCTGACTACATTGACACTGGTAGCGAGCAAATGAATTTCACCCCTGGGACACCACGAGAGGGGGAAGTAAAAAATATAATGTATGGAAAAAACATAAACGGGTAAATTGACGGCATGCTGGAATGGAATCCCCCAAAAGAGACAGAGATGAGCAGCAGGAAGAAAGGAGGAGACGCCGAGCAGGAAGGGGAGGATGAGGGGGAGAAGGGCCAAGTTGTCGAGGATGAGAGGGTGATGACGAGAGGATGATGATGGTGAGAGGTTGATGGTGAGATGGTGATGGTGAGAGGGGAGGGCAGAGAGGGAGGGAGATTGAAGGAAGGAGCGAGCAAAAGTGAGCTGCACAGAGCGGCGTGTTGTTACAGGGGGCGGGGGAGAGGGGAGGGGGATTCAAAGTGGGGTCACGTTATTTACGGGAGGCTTGAGCTGCTGATTTAAATGTATTGATTACCTTACGTGCAAGGGGAACGCTTGGGCAGCCACAGTTAAGGGGGTTGGTGGACTACGCTGAGATCTGTAAAACTCTAAAACCCACTGGGGGCTGCGAGGGGGCCAGGAGATGACAGTCGAGCAAGTGGGTTCAGGAACATTTCTGTATGGCGACTGCTATATCCTCACCTGCCTGAGTACTCTGGTTTCTTGTCGCAGCCCAAACACTCATTAAAAAGGAATTGGCTACATAACCCAATGGAGTACCCTCCTTAAAAAACTTCTTTAAAAAAGATACTAAGTAACGCTTTCCTTGCAGATAAAGAATTGACAAGATGACCAGTGTAAGGCACGTTTGCCACATTTCGAGTCAAGCAAATTTTTTTCCGGTGTGAGAGCGCGAGAGCGCGACCTCTTACCTGGTGGCGTTGTACACCTGTGGCACGAGGCACAGGTCGGCCATGGTCACCTGAAAAACAGGCGCGGACAGGCGGCGTCGGCTGCGGTGTTGTGACACGGCCATTATGAGCACCCCAACGACCCGCCCGGAACGCTTCCGGGGAAGCCAACAAAATAACCTTGAAACTTACACTTGCCAAACTCTAAACGTGGCGCGCACGTCACATGGCTGCAAAATGACCACCGCTGACTCCCAGTAAACGTGGAAACGCTGAACCAACACGAAAAATAAGAATAGGTTTTATCTTTTCTGAAAAAAAAAACTGGTGTTAAGATGTTCAAACATGCCTTTTGCAGACTTAATGCATTTTGCAAGGCATTAAGTCTGCATTAACCACACATATTTGTGGCAAAACTTGCAAACAAACATGCTCAACCACGTGCGAACGTTGAGAGAACATTGGCACGTGGTTGAAACTGCCGAACCAACGTTGACCCACCGTTGGGCCAACGTTCCACGTTTACTGGGGCCCTCACCTCGTCTCCGACGCAGTACTTGCCGGCCGTCTTCTGCAACATCTGCTCCACGGCTGCACTCGCAGGAAGAGCAGGACAGCGGCACAGAGGGCACGGACAGCACGCGTGTGCGCGTTACCGCGTTAGCGTCCGCGCACAATCGGTCCGCATCGCGCAGGCGCACGTCGCACCGGCTCGCAGCGTCGCGAACAAACGCTCCATTTGCCCAACGCGCATTTCCCGCTTTCGTTTCGTTTTCATCGTTTCCGTTTTGTAACGACTGTTTGAATGTTTGTTTAGTTTGTGCAGTTTACGTACGCATGTTGAACTTAAATTTCGGTTTAAAGCTTTCGTAACTGCAGGGATTCATCTTCTTGGTTCTTTCGGTAAAGTCATGTAGAAGGGAAGTAATTAAATAAAAATAAAAAAAACATAATAAAATAATTCTCACGACGTTTCGGCCACAACGCAAGCAGCCGTCCTCAGATGAAGAATGAGGACGGCTGCTTGCGTTGTGGCCGAAACGTTGTGAGAATTATTTTATTATGTTTTATTTCTATTATTTTATTACTTCCCTTCTACGTGACTTTACCGAAAGAACCAAGAAGATGTTGAACTTATTTCCCACCATACGTAGCCAACCTTCCTAATCGGAGGTACGGAAGGACAGCAAACTAAACACAAAAAGCAGTTCTAAAGAAATTAGTTTTTCAATCTAGATCTAAGATGCATAGCTCCCGGTGGCTATCTAATATTGGAAGAGCGTTCCAGATGGCCACAGAAGGGCATCTGAAAGCGCACGATGCGGTAACCGTCTTTGTTCGACGGCTAGCCAATGCGACTCCACTGTACGGTATCTTGAGATGAGCTAATTTCGAGATTGCTTTCTAAATTGTTCTGCTACCAAGGGGCGGCGTGGTGGCTTCGTGCCCTGTGCTATGAACCTTATCTTAGCTTAAAATCATTTATATAGTCCCTTATACAAGGCGCTTTAGACAGAATTAACAATAGTACATATGAATGGAATGGTGGAGATGAGGTGAATGAAATAGATGAGAGGAAGTAATGGGAAATCTGTGATGCGTGAAATCGGTGAAAGCGAAATTGATGACCGTAAGTGATGATGAATGGATTGAACGAATGGGGTACGAGTGAGAGCCACATGAGAATATGAAGAGGGAAAAGTAACGGTGGCAAATATGAGGTGGAGACTAAGGGGTCGTGGGGCGAGCTAGGGAAAACAAAGCGGAAACTCGTGAGCGAAGCTGACTGTTTAATGTGGAGGGGAAGTTTGTTCCAGTGAATGGGAGCGAGAAGAGTAAAAGAGCGAAAGTGCGGATTGAGTGCAAGGTGGAAGAGGAACAGAGAGAGACGCAAAGATTGTGAACGTACAGGGCGAGAAGGCACGTCGAAGGATATTAGCGTGGCAAGATATGGTGGGGCAAGACCACGAAGGGATTTGTAGACCAGGCAACCTGCTTTTGATTCCGGGCCACGGCTACTGCCAGTGGTGAGCGATATCTGAACCTGCACTGCCCCCCCCCCCAATCACTTCACCAACCTGCACTGACCAGTGTGGTGGTGATACACGGCGGTCAAGTAACTCCCATGACCCGCACGACATGGGGAGGCCTTCATCCAGGAGTGGATTGACAAAGGGTAATAGATTATAGATAAAAAAAAAACAAATATGATACCCTGGAAACCCTTGGTGATGAAGTTCTGGGCCCACTCCTCCTTCCTCGCCTCCCCCAAGTACTTCAGCACGGTCAGGTTCTGTGATGGGAGTGGGGAGAGGATGCAAGGACATAGGTACGCTGGAGTCAAGATCAGCGTCATCTCCATCGTCCTCAATTTTCGTTATGAATTCCTCTGAAGTCTGCAACAGGTCTCAGGAGCGGCAAACAAAAACAATATTTTGTACGTCTCACCAAGTATAATGAGCAAGTGGAAATGATGAGCAATGGTTGGGGTTTAGCGATGTCATTGGCAGCGTTGGGCGTGGCTTGCAGTGGGTTTCCCACCTTCGAAAGGTGGGGGTGTTGGGACGGCTGCTTATTTTGAAGAGACTCGAGTAACAGACCACTAAAAAAAACTGTCGGTTTACCATTTTCTGTTGCTTAATCCATTGCATCGACCGCCCATCCTGTCTCTAACCATACGTGACGGGGAAAGCGTCACCTGTAGCGGCTGGATGCCGGTGACAATGGTTTCCGAGATCATGCGGACGAGGGCTCGCTTCCCTGGCTCCTTGGGTAGGAGGGCAGGGCCTTCCCGCGTCTCCTCCAGGTACTCGATTATCGCCAGCTAGCGGGGGACGGAAGGAGACAAGGGTCGGCTCACGACAATGACGGTGGCGACAAAACTTTGAACGAGACACGAACGACAAAGTGCGCCTCTGCCGGGACCGCCGTGTGCGAGCCTGTGCTCGTGTTCTGACAGCACTTGCCCCAACAGTCTGTTAAAAATAATGTTATGGAAACAATTTTGTCTTTGAGTGCATATGCATATTATTGTGTTCATGTGTCATTGCGTGTGTGCATGCGTACATGTTTGCGTGTACGTGCGTACATGAGCACGTTAATTTGTGTGTGTACGTGTATGTGGATAGCGGCTTCTCTTTGGCCGAATAGAGGGGGATAAAAGGGCGTGGCATGGGCTCGAGAGGAGATGGACTGATACATTAAAGAAGGATGTGGAGCTGATTGAACTTGCCGATGACCCGTACCAGCCGTGTCAAGATCGGCCTCTGCGGAGGAGGTTCTTTAAGGATGCCACTGGGCAGTTGGAGGCAGTCGCCCTCCAACAGCAAAGGTGGGCAGATGAGCGACACTCACAACGAGCGGGGCAGCTGTTGCTGTTGTTGTATCTGTGTGCGTTAGCATGCGTGCCAGTACCGACTGTGAGAGAATTATTCCGTCGATGTCGAGCGCTGGAATCTGTCCCATCGGGTTCTTTTTACGGAAATCATCTGTCAGCTGCATTCTCACACACATATATAGATTAATTAACACATTTAGCAATTACAAGACCGCCGGGGCAAGGGCTGTTAGCGAGCGCCCATTAATACCGGAACGGCACAAGCGGATGTGATGTGGCCAGGACAGCGCCTGGTCCCATTTGTCTCCCCAGTGCTGATGTTTTAATGCCGAACCAGCTACTCATTTATGGCTAAGGCACCTCCCAATGCAGCGATAAGCCAGTGGTCGAAATTCCTCGTTGCTACACTCTTGCCTTCTCACAAAGTGGTACCGATTTTGACGTCCTCAGAAGGATGATGGGTTGAGCCGAACGGGGTGTAACCTCTACACCTGCCATCGCTCACCTGCTCGCCTTTGAGGAGGTTGACAGGAATCTGGTCATACTCGATGCCTTTGTACGCCAGGGCTGCAACACACATTACAAACAAATACTGTAAACACGAGGTGGCTGGGTGGCTTAGGGATCCAATATAACTGAAATTTGCAGGTCAAATCCTGCGTGTGGAACATGGAGTGTTATCCCCTGGTACTTGACACCAGTGAGATCCACGGTTCGAATGCGGTGGGCAGTGTTGAGTGTTGTCACCCCCATGGCACCCGGTATCGACATCCAAGGGTTCTAATCCAGTGGAGCATGGAGTGCTGCCTCCTAGTATGTGCAATGGGTTTTTTAAAATAAAATAAAAAGTGTTCCAGTTATCTCCCACACGAATTAAAACTCTCAATAATGGGATCGTCTAACTTTCCACACGAAACAGGACCACCTTGAAAAAGAGTCTTGAGACCAAGCGAGGAATTCCCGGATACAATAAACTGCATTATTATCATATTTTAACTAAGAGGGAAGTTAATAATGAAAATTCAATCAACAATAACAGCAGCAGCAGGTCTGAACAAAATCACAATGTAGGTGTAAATCCCGAACATTAATCCAGCACGTGAAGACGTTTTGGTTTGGTGCAAACCAGTTTTGAGGAATGTGGAACGTTACTCGGGTTAGGGGCAGGCCTTCCAAACCTCCAATCCCCGTGGCTTTCCAGGTCATTCGTTCAACTTTATAAATGAAAAAAATGTAAAGTTTAAAGTGGTGCAAGACCTGCCGTCACTTGCTCGGAGGGAGTTCTTTGAGGGCCTCTCTGGAGGGTATTTTAGACTACTCTTTCACGCTGGACAGAGACACGGATAAGGTGGCAAGTACCCACACACTTTACCCCAGCAAACAAAGGTTCCAGTTGAGAAAACTTGCACCGTTGTCATTTTTATTTTTAAATCCTTTATATTAAGTTCGCTTGCTTGCTTAGGACCGTGCAAATCTTTTGGTCGTTTTTTAACCCACTTCCCGTGATCCAATCGAGCTGACATTTTGCACACAGACTCGTTGTGCCGTGACAATGCATTTTCGTGAAAAAAAATTCAAAAATTTTACACTGTTTAGGGAACATTTTTTAAATATTTAATTACCAATTGTTTAATGCTGCCAGACAATCATCTGACCCATAGGTGGCAGCCATCTCAGGCCAGAGGACGAGAGGACTCGAGTCGCCCCGATGCCACGCATATAAAGGATTTATAGTGAAAACTTTGTTTTTACGGGTTAATTTTTTCTTCTTGGTTCTTTCGATAAAGTCACGTAGAATGGAAATAATAAAATTAAAATAAATAAAACATAATAAAATGAATCTCCGTTTGGAACTCTACAGCTGGCTGTGAACCACCCTGTGTTAGGGGTTTACGGGTTTACTTGTCTTAAACTGCCATGCTGGCATGTGTAGTCTAACCGGCGACCTCGGGGTTATAAGTCCAGTGTGCCGACCACTCCGCCGACGGCAGCATTCGCGTTTGCCAATCTAAACAAAGGGCGCTTAGGACTCCGTAATTGGTAACATTCTCGACAATGATCAAATAATGGTGCCATAGAATTGATCAGCGTTCAGAGTTGGCACACCGTATCGTGTGTCACGCTGCCCGGAATAGGCGCTCTCGAAATGCACGTGTCCGCGTGGTTTCTACTAGTACTGTAGCCAATTACTCTTCTCTTACGCACGGTCAACATTCGACATATGTTGTGTGTACGTATACATACCATGGTCGTCAACACATGGCTCAGGAGACACACGTGTCCTGTATACCCATGTGGAACACACCCGACACGTGTTCGCGGTTCAGTGCAGTCGAAAGTTGTTGAAACCACGTGGGAGCTAAATTGACTGATACACAACATGTACCTCTGTTTTGCACTGAATCATGTGGAGTGTGCACGTGGGCCTGGCTGTGCACGTGGCTAAGTGTGCACGTGACCGAGTGTACACATAGGTGCATGTTAACTTGCACACGTTAACGCCTGTACAGGTGCGTGAGCTCGCGGGCTCACGTGTACACATGCTTGGGTGTAGATACACACACACACCTGTTGTACACACGTAGTGTACACACACGTGATTTAAACGCGTGCACGTGCGCCCTATCACGTTCACATATGGGGGCGCGCGTGTAGACGTTTAGCCCACGTGCGATTAGCACGGTTGGCTACGTACGGCGTGAAGAAAGTTCAATATACACACGTACAATCGAACTCTGCTCGCCGCGCTAACCACTGCGCCACCGTTCCCCACTCCCACACGTGTGTAGCACTTGTGGCACACACGTGGTGTGTAACACACGTGTGTTGTGCGTGTGTGCCTTGGCACGCGTGATGCTGCTGCTGTGGTTGTTGTTGACGGGTCACCGCCCCCCGTGAACTCACCAATCCGGACGCGCCAAGCGCACGAACTCCTGAAGTAGGAGTAGAGCACGGGCTGCAGACACGGATCGCAAACTCACTCACATCACCACACTCATGCACATCACCACACTCACATCACCACACTCACATCACCACACTCACTCACATCACCACACTCACTCACGTCACCACACTCACGCACATCACCACACTCACGTGCATACACACACGCGCACACGTGCGCACACACACACGCGCGCGCACGTGTGCGCACACAACGGAACGGTCAGATTCACCTGCAACAACCACAGCCATCATCACCACCGTCATCGTCATCATCCCCACCGCAGCAAATCCACAAGTTCACAAAACACGGCGCAACGGTCATCAATCACCAAACACCACAACCACCATCAAAACCAAACAGCACCACCAAACACCACCACCCCCATCGTCGTCGTCTCCGCCGTGAGTGCCGGGTGGGCGTGTAGAGTCGGCCGTCTTACCTTGAGCGTGGAGGCCGCCATGGCGAGGGAGGCAGCGAGCGTGCCGAGTCGGGGCGCAGAGCGACGCCGCGGGGCTGCGGAGACGGCGAGAGGCGCTAGGGGGCGGTGCGGGACCGGGGGAGGGAGGAGAGAGGCGGCGAGGAGTGGGGAGAGGGAGGGGTGGGAGGGGAGGGTGGAGTGGGAGGGTGGAGAGGGTGGGTGGAGTGGGAGGGTGGAGTGGGAGGGTGGAGTGGGAGGGTGGAGGGTGGAGAGGGAGGGAGGAGTGGGGGGGGTGGGAGGGGAGGGTGGAGTGGGAGGGTGGAGAGGGAGGGGAGGGTGGGGAGGGAGGGTGGAGTGGGAGGGTGGAGTGGGGGGGTGGGAGGGGAGGGTGGAGTGGAGTGGGAGGGGAGGGTGGAGTGGAGTGGGAGGGGAGGGTGGAGAGGGAGGGGAGGGAGGAGTCGGAGGGGAGGGTGGAGAGAGGCGGGGGAGGGGAGGGTGGAGTGGGGGGGTGGGAGGGTGGAGTTGGAGGGTGGAGTGGTATGGGAGGGTGGGAAGACAGGAGGGAGTTGGGAGGGATGGAAGGAGTGATAATGGGTGAGTGGGCAGCGAGAGAGGAGGAACAGAGGACGAGTGGAGGGTGAGTGGAGGGTGAGTGGGGGAACATGAGAGGAGGGATCAGCAGCTCAACGGCGCCTCCTGCTGCTGGAACATTGATGGCAGCCGCACTTGGGGTGGGTGAGGGTTGGACTGTGGGGTTCGGGGTGGCGAAGGAGTTAGGCGTTATAGTTCAGAGCCACGGGTGTACGGTTAGGGTCAGGATCAATGGGCTTCGTGTTCGTGGCAGGGATTTGAGTTCTTGGCCGAGTGTGAATGTTAGGGCTGCGTTAAGTGGCGAGGTCCCTGAGATGACGGGTTGTTGTTATCTTGTAACTTTCCACTTATTTGTTCAATTCCTTCGTTTTATTGCGCGTCCGTTGATGGACAAGCAGCGAGTTGAGTGTTTCCATGACGGCTGCAAGTTATAAAGACTCATAATGTTCGGGCCAGGGTCAGAGTTCGGTGTTGTGGTTTTCAGGATTGGGGCTAGGGGGTCGTTATTTTGGACGATTTTTGACCCCCCCCCCCCCCCCTCGTCACACGGCGTCACAAAAAGTCAGACCCCCCTCAAATATGACGTCACAAAGCTCTGCCCCCCCCAAAAAATAAAACATGCTTCAAATCGCTTTAAACTATTGTCATTGCAGTGCGTATTTAATGTGGCGCTGCACTCTGATGTTGTAGGAGAAAACATGTTTAACAAGTCTATTTAATTAAGTAGAACGTGTTGTCTATATTTATTTAAAGTTGCGCATTTTGATGTGACGTCACAGTTCTCACCCCCCTCCCCCAGGTGCGTGACGTCATTTATGGACGGCCCCTAGGGTTGTCTCGTCAGGTTTAGAATCGGTCATAAGCATGGTTTGGTGGTCTTTTTTGGAATGATTCACGTTTTTATTGATTAATTACAGTAGTTAACAAATATAACGTATGCAATCAAATAAAAAAATTAAAATCTTATGTTTGGGTGGTGGCTGTTCAAATGCAATTCCCTCCACAAACCGAGTTGCCAGAAAAAGGGGGAAAACCCTATTAGTAATGCTTCGTTCCTCCGAATACACACTTAATAAATGTAACGCACATTGCCAGCAACAGAAAGGCGCACCTCAGACTGTTCGGTTTTCATTTCATTTTTATTCATTTTTTTATTGTCATTACACAAGGTATTGTCACCATTGCATTTTTTGTATTTTTATTTTTCGTAATATTTTTTTAAATAATAAACAGTGGGCATCGTGTCGCATACTTTAGCTTTTTTTTGTTAAGCAGCGCAAACAAACCCATTAGCCTCCTCCAGAGAAAAAAAACGGTCACAGATTCTAGAGGTGTAACAAAATAAACGTTGTGGTGTGATTGTAGCGGCCACCAGTGGCTGCGGGGTGAGTCACGTGGGACCCATTGCGACTGCGTCGGCTTTCGCGGCAGTGCTTGTACAGCTCTTCTCAGGCTGTTAACCGCGTGTTGTTCGGCACGACGTCCGACGTTTCGCTCCGTGTGCTTAGGAGCTTCTTCAGGAAGTGAACTGAAGAAGTTCCCTGCAAAGTGGCGTGAAATGTCGGGACATCGTGACCGAACAACACATCGTGGCGCCAGGGGGGTCAGGTACGTTAAAACTTAATTTTAGAAATGGAGCTTTCGTGACTGCAAGGATTCATACTCTAAGGTTTTTTTCGGTAAAGTCACGTAGGTAAAGAAAAGTTAATGAAAGTAATAATGGAAATAAAATAATAAATCACGACGTTTCGGAGGCAACACAAGTCCCCGTCATCAGGTGGGACCGTCACAGGTAAAATTACTGCATCAAGGTGCAGTAATTTTGATGCAGTAATTTTAGCTGTGACGGTCCCACCTGATGACGGAGACTTGTGTTGCCTCCGAAACGTCGTGATTTATTATTTTATTTTAATTCCATTATTACTATTATTAAGTTTTTAAAAAAAAATTTACCTACGTGACTTTACCGAAAAAAACCTAAGAGTACAACTTAATTTGTCAAATTCCCCGAGCTCCGATTTAAATCGGTGCCAATCAAGGGAGATGTTCACCTTTAAGGTCTTGTATGCAACCGTCCCGCCCACAGATGCTGTATTTGCACTCCACGCGAGGGCACCTTAAGACTAAAGGTCGCTTTTTTTTTACAATGTAGACCCAAGGCATGGAACACGCCGGATTGAAGCACATCGAACCCCCCCAAAAATACAAGCGACGGACGCGTTTGATGCTGCTAATCCTGCATAATGCACGGGCATAATGACTTTAAACCCCCCGCCAAACCTCCTACGCATTTCACAGGTAGTACTAATCGCATATCTGCATTTACCATAAATATGCTAAATTCCTCTTGATATGCAAATTATTTTGTCAAGGCGCCCTTCCCCCTTCCAACCCAGCTTAAATAGTCGCTCCAAGCCTGGAGTGTCATTCAGACTGTCTTCTCGACAGACCTGTTCTTCACCTGAGGACGGCTGCTTGCGTTGTGGCCGAAACGTCGTGAGAATTATTTTATTATATTTTATTATTTCCATTCTACGTGACTTTACCGAAAGAACCAAGAAGATGAATCGCCATTAAGTAAGATCCGTTACACCTCTGCGCAGAACATTGGGGCCCCACCGCGGCCGCTCTTGCATCCAGAATCACGTTTTCCCATACAGCACGATGCATTTGTACACTCTGCGGCCAATTGCAAACGGCGCCACGAGTGCTGTTGGTGTCGTCTCAACCTCCACCACCTTCTCTTACAAAGAGAACAAAGGTTTTTAGGCCACCGTATTTCAACGCAACCTAAGCCAAGGTTTCACTCACTCCAGATCTTGCAAATCACCACAGCTCGCATCCTTTCAATGTTCATCTTCTCTGTTCGGATACAAATTGAGCAGTTTAACACGTAGGCTTTCGCGACCAATATTATCCATGAGGTTTTTGGGGTTAGATTGCATGTGTCGTTAAACCCGCCAAGACCCAACACAGCCAATTAGTAAGGTTTCACAGATAGGCATGTCTGATGATTGGTAACAATTGATGGCATAATGTAGAGAGCTTCGATTCAAATGTAAAGATCTTGTGTGTGTACATGCCATACACCAGACCTCGGCACGTGCCATGACCTTCCAGGAAGCCTTCGACACTTTGAGGCTTCAGTGACCTTGCACAAGAACAATCGTGACTTTATCACTTCGTTTTGAGAGCGCAGATTCAAATGAGATTGATGAACATGGAAATGCGGATTACGGTGGGCCACATGGACTCCGGGGTTTGTAAACCCTGCCATAACCCAAATAACAATGTACATTCCTCAAAATTGCTTTAGAGAAAAAACCGTAACATGTCTTCATTTGCAGTATTACACTTACATCATGATTGTTCAGACATCTATAGCACTATTTCTTTGTGAATAGGAATTCCGTAATGAACTCCCCTCTTCATTAAATAGACAGTAATCGGTATCAATGCCATTTATTTATCCAGGAAAGCCTCACCGACTCTCAAGACCCTTTTTCAAGAGGGCCCTGGATTGTAATGTTTGGCCAATTTTATGAAGGAGGGTTTGGCTTGGTGTGGGAGGAAAGTTGTGTAACAGGAGAAAAAAACACTTGCTGTACCATGGGGTAACACTCAAAAGCTCCACACAGATATAGATTCAAGAATCCGTTGATGTACTCTCATCGCCTGGCCACCTCGCACTGTGTGTACACGCTGCACTTGCAGCTCACCGGCGTGTGAGCCGCGCTGCGGCAGTGTGCGATGACGACACCTCCTGTCGTGCAGTAGGAAAACATATGGCAAGCTGCAAATGCATTCGAATGTTCTCTTTCAGCACAAACATTGTCCAGAAGCCCAGAAACTGCAAAATGATTTGCAAAAAAAATCACCGTGGTCAGTCACTGGATTTGCTATTTTCTTTTTCATAGATAAATTCTATTGAGTAAAATGATCTTGGGAGATTCACAGGATGAACGAAAATAAATTACAGACCAGGACAGATTTTTGAACGTCGCCATTACATTGCATTCGGTGATGGCGTCACCGAAAAATAACAACATCAGGCAAGGCAAGGCAAGGGGGGTCCCACCTCAACTGGCGTTCTCTAGTGATGACTCGAGAATGCTCGTGTGGAGTGTAGCATTCCATGGTAAAGAATGGATTGGCATTGAATGGGAGATGGAGGGAGCGTGAGCCGTGGACCCCTGGCCCCTTTGGGCAGAGAAGTTGAGAGATGAAAACGGTTTCAGACGAGGGGACTGAGGCCACCGTAAATGCAAAGGAGGAGAAATCAATGCTTTGTTATTCGTGCAAGTCGTGTGATTTCTACAGATATTGCTTGGTGGTAACCCAGTGAGACATCACGGAGTAAGCTGGCAAGCGATGTGGCATAAACTAACACTGCGATGACCTCTGTAAGACTACGAAGCTTCCGAAACTGAGATGAACTCAACACGGGTAAACATCAAATGTAAAAACATGGTTAAATTGTCACATTTTACACAGGGGTTCGATTAAAATCAGTCCTAACGCAGACCCAGTCTTGTTAGCCGTTACGTGTTTAGCGTCGAAGAGTGGCGGACATTTTTTGGTTATCAGCAGCCAACCGATTTGCATAGTTTTAAACGCAAAAAAAGAAATATCGTGTTGGCAGACGGACGAATGAGTCTACATGGCCCAACCAACCAGGCCCTATTTGCAACTTTGAGACCGGAAATGAATAAAGTGCGTTTGCACCCAATTCACAGCTGATATTATTCCATGGGAAGTGGTCATTATTTCACCCAGGAAAGCTCTTTTTCACGAGCATCCTACGTGGGACGTTTGGCCAATTCCTTAAATTGAAAATGTTATGTTATTTCAATGTCAGTGGTAATCAGAATGCCTGCAGAAATCCCACACATACGTGGAGATACAAGTCAACGATCTGCACGGAAAGGCGAGTAAACTACTTGCTGTACTGCCTTCCATGGGCCACCCCACAGATCTGCAGTTGGGCATCATGCACATGATAAAATCTGCATAATTATAGCATATCATTTATTACTTAGTATTTTTATGGAACTAGTTGAAATCAATAGTATGATTGTCAAAAAATTACCTGTTATGAAAGCAACTTCATGATCTGGTTTGTGGCGTGTTTCAGGTATCTAAAATTGTATTTATTTTATTTTTACGAATGTCAATATTCTTTGGTACTCAGTCCTCAGTACAGGCATGGTTCATCATTGTTGATATGATCGACACATCAACACCCTCAACACCATCATGATCGTCGTGATCATCATCACCACAGTCTGTACAGCTCAATAGTGAATGATTGTTTATCCAATAATCCCTTGGGTAAAATTAAAACATTCCATCTGTGCCTCTACAAGACTGGATTTTGAACGTCCCAAATTCCAAGAATTTACACACACATAAGCAGCAAACATTTCCCCAATGTTTCTCTGCGCACTTTAAGATAATTTAATTAAGTTTCTTCATCAGTAGACATGTCTCTGATCCAGAGGCAAGAGAAGCACGCTTGGAAATGCAGTAATACCCCGGTTTACGTCGGAGATGTATTCCTCAAAGGTGGGACGACGAATATCGAAACGACGAGAAAGGACGGACGATGCTGTTGGCGACATGAGTGTGTGTGTTGAGACGACGCAAATCAGGTTGTGTGGTAGTAATAAAGTGACTTCGTAAAAGGGTGAAGATGTAAATCGGGGTATTACTGTTCTAGATTTGAAGCTTTCGTGACTGCAAGGATTCATACTTTTAGTTCTTTCGGTAAAGTCACGTAGGTAAAAAATGAAATTAAAATTAATATAAATAAAACAATAAAATCACGACGTTTCGGAGGCAAATCACGACGTTTCGGAGGCAAGTGTTGCCTCTGACACGTCGTGATTTTATTGTTTTATTTTTATTAATTTTAATTTAAAATTTTACCTACGTGACTTTACCAAAAGAACTAAGAGTATGTATTACTGTTCATTGTGAGACAGGTGGATGAGAGATATACACACGGGTTAAAAGACAATGTTGACTTGTTAATAAAAGACGAGTGGGCTTGGGTTTGGGACACGTTGCGAGAAGAGACGGTGGCCGGTGGTTGAGACCAACGACGAAGTGGCAGCCGATGGAACGCGACCGGGAGGACGGCCACCGTGAAGATGCAGCAACGAGATGAAGCTTGTGTGCAAGCGCCGGGGGGTGGATTTGTTGCGTCACAAGACCGTGAGGGATATTGACAGCTCGGAAAGGCCTTCATCCAGCAATCGATTGATCATGGCTATTGATGATGATGGCACGGCATAGAGAGTGTCGAAGATACATTCGAACACACCACTGCCCTATCGTGCAACTGACCTAATGAATAAATTCCTTAATTGTGCATTTTTATTTAAGTTCTATGTCAAACTGTAAACGTTTTTAAAATCATAAATAAACACCTTTAGGGCACGATTGTTTCGTACTCTTATTTCATACGATTGTTTCACTTTGACGATTGCTATTGCGAATGCACACGGCTGTCTTTGGATCTCTGACAAATTAAACGGACATTTTGCTGTTGGTGAATTCCTGGTTTAGGTGGTGGCTCAAGAGTGGCAGAAGCCCTGTTTTTATGGGCTATGCCCATCTCAAGATGGACAATTGGCTGGCAAGCCAATCTATTAACGGAACCTCCGTTCCACAAGGTGGACCCCACTGAAAACTATTTAATTGGCAAAGTGACCCAAAAACGAGATATATTTGGGCATTGATATTGGTAATCCTGTGTGGCGAGTTCAGCGATTGGTTTAGGGGGTTTTGTAGTTTCCATGAAAACACGTGACATGCCCTCGGACGGACTCATGAAGGATGGACAGACAGAACATTTCCTGGGCATAAGTGACCAAATTGGTTCCTTTAAACCAACCAGATTCTCACCGCTCACCCGCTACCGTTCCCATACTGCGCACCAGCAATTTTGTTTTAACGCATTACCTCTACTCATAACTGATTATTCTCGCAAGCGTACAGTCGGGGGACAAAAAAATACAACTGGCAGCTTTCCTTAACGTCTACTTTACTAACATTATCGCTGCTCCCAGCACCACTTCTCCCCCGACCCACGGCGGCCGTCGATCTACGAGTTACTCAACAGGGAACATCCCCCCCCCCCCATCCCCGTTGCACACGGAACGCTGCCACAGAGCCAGCGGTGCGTGCATGGCACTGCCGATCGTCGCCGGTAACCCCAATCGCCCACAACCGCAGCAGCTGGTGTGACCGCAACACGCGCCACCCACCCTCGGTGATAATAAATATTAGTCCTTCATGCGCTTGGACCGTTTTCATATTTCTTTTTTGTTTCATTCACAAAGCAAATTTTTCTCATTTTTCTCTCTCCTTCGCCGCAGTAAATACTTGTGCTGCGATCATAGCGGAAAGTCGTTTTAACACGTCGCGCTTTTAAAAATAAAGTGACGAGGGAGGTGGCAATGAATTGGGAACGAGGTCCTCATTTTTACCCGAGCACCAGGCCCCCCGTGGGATAAGCCAATCACCGACGGGTCCCAAAGGGTCAGTCGGTCGGTCTCGAAGAAGAAGCAGCCAGCGACACAGCAACATGCGAGAGGAGGCAGCCCGAGTGGGCTCTGGCTCGCTCATGGCCAGCCAAGAGGGCTACATGCATGGATCCAACTAAATAAAGTCCCCGCCCAAGACTTTAGGAGGCCGCCAATCGGCCTGGAAGTCTGGCCGTGCCATTCGCGATTGACCGAGTATTCTGACACGAGGCCGAGCGTGGATCTGGCCCCACGAGTGGAAGCTACGAGGAAAATTGCATCGAAGTCTCCGAGTGGAGGGTTGCAGTCTCCCAGGCTCAGTGTGCACCAGGTCAAGTTTTATTTTTACATCGCACTAATCTGATAACGAGCCGAATCTAATTAAGTCTTCTATTTATTCTGGACGGGCTCGTTGAGAATTACCATTGTACATTGCGAGTCTCCTTTTTTAATTAAGAATATCCGGCCCCCACAAAGGAAATGTTTTTTTAATTGTCGATAAGACTTTCTGCAAGTAATCCGGCAAGTGTGCAAAGCACGCCGTTGGTGCATGATGGCCGTACCCACGATTAGTCCCTGCACGTCTTCAAATTCAGCTGGACCTGCTATGGGTCAACTAGAAGCCACGGCGACCGATGCGTAAACTGAAAATGACCATTGCCGAAAAAGATACAGTATGCGGCAATGTCACGCCAAACCTCGCAGTGAATTACAGCAAAAATAAAACTGAAAAAAAGAGGGCCCTCCGTATTGAGGCGACGCAACAACAACACAGGGAAGGCCTTACGGCACTACCGCTTAGTGCAACGTGTTCCAGGCTGTGCAACAATCAATCTCGGGCGATCCGGCTCCTGGCTGCGAGTGAAGCGATCGCCGAGTTCACAGCCAGTGTACTTTCACCCCCCGCCGCCACCGACCTACACATCTGCGCATATTCCGTCTCCCTCACTTGCGCTCTCTCTCTCAGTCCCCTCCCGCCCCGTTCAATTCTATCTCGCGATCGCTTCCTTCTCCCGTCTCGTCGTGCGCATGGAAGCTGATGGACAAGCATGTAGGGTGGCTGCCACATTTACACCCACCCGCCCGCTCGCCCGCCAGGCCACCCTGCCACCTGCCTGCTAGCTAGCCCCGACTTTCTCAATTCACGAGTTTGGCTGACAAGCGGGTTGGTGGTCGGGCCTGCCAGGCCACTCCTCCCCAGCTCTACTGTACACCATGTTTGGGGGAGGCGACGGGCGACTGGGTCCGGTGGTGGTCGGGCTCGTCGGCACCGGAGCTGGCCGTATCTCCGCCACCTCCGCCGGGTTTTCCGTTAGTGCCGTCCGTCGGCGCGCCCTGGGGCTTGCTCTGATTGTGGTTCGGTTCGTCGTCTTTATCCATGGAGCCGTAGCTCTGGGGCGACATCACCTCGCTCTCCTCCTCCACGGCCGATGGCGCAAACAGCACCGATGCCTTGTAGGTCTGGTTTGGGGTCAGTGTCGGGGTCGGGGTCAGAGTGAGTTAGGGTAAGGATCGGAGTGAGGATGGACGGGGGGGGGGGGGTAGGATGATGAGAGCGATACAGAGAGAGAGGCGAGGCACAGAGCGAGAGGCAGTGGGCAGAAAGCATGGTGCAGAATACGTGTAGGAGAGAGTGGACAGGCCGTGGGAAAGGTGAGAGAGCAATACACACCACCCCACCCCCCCTCTGAGAGGGAACGACATGTGAAGGGCATGGACGGAAAGAGGGACGGTGATGAAGGGGTGACGGGCACCCAGAGTGGGGAGAGTGGAGTGGAGAGGCGGAGAGAGCATGGGAAGTGACAGAAATGCAGGCGCCGCAGACAGGGAAGATGAAGACGGATCGCCGGAAGCACTCTACGAATCTCCACACTTTTAAAGCGTTATTATTGAACATCGCTACGGCTTTCAAACGTGATTCATCATCGCGAAAGGAGGGCGTTTGTTCGCGATCATCTTCACGAAGCTCATCTCCTCTGCTTGTCCCTGCCAAATGGGCAACGGAATCTCCTGCAATGACTCAGGATCGCCGACCAAGATAAGCAGCCCCCAACGCTTGCTTCAGCGAATAATAAATTAAGGGACTGCGCGTTGGCAGTGGTGTACAACTACGAATCGAGAAAAATCCCATCGCGTTCATCATTAGCGCTGTCCTTTATCAGAGCCAAGAAGGGTCTGGATAAGAGCCATTGCCCAAAATATTAGCCGAGTGAAGATTACTCTTTAATTCTGCTTGGCTCCGCTATACGGCAGTGCTGATGACAACGTGTATCTACATCCAATCGTGCGTACGAGAATCAATTATTTTATAAAAAAAATACTCTGTAAGTAATTGCCTCACGTGACCCCCTGTAGCCACGAGAGACACTGCGCTCACAATCTAAAAAGAAAATACCAAAAAATATCTATTTTTGTACTGTGACCCCCCAATTCATGACAATCCATCGGATCACATGGGGGTAGTCGAACGTCAACATCCGAATGATGAGAGCCAACCGGTTTGATTGGAGAGGCACAACGACTGCGAGACGCCTCGCTGAGATATAGTGGTGGTGGGGGGGGGGGCACATACCGGAGATTGTGGTGTAGTGGGGGTTCCTCCCTCGTCATCCAGAGGGGGGCTGCCCACCATGGAGTCCTGAAGGGAGAGAGGAAAGGAAAACCCGCGAGGAGTAAAGCAAAAGACAAGCAATGACATCGTTTAAAATGTGTGTGTGTGTGTACATCATCCATCATGCGACAGCTATGTATGTGACAATTCACAGCCTGGACCACCCCCTTCAAGCGAGATGTCCCATCCCAAGGGATTTTGCAGGTGAAAGATGTAAACAAAGTATATAAATAACTAGAATAAAAAAGGTAAATGTTTTCGGTATCCATCCAAGTGGCCACTGATGTCAAAGACTACATTTGTTCACCGAGGCCAAATTCGAATTTCAAAAAATGTGTCCACCGCGCTTGGCAGTGATGGACAAGTGCAGAGCGCGACGTAACACGGGGGGGGGGGGGGGGGCTCGACTGATACCGGACGAAACCGACGTGATCAGTCGACCTCCCGCAGTGATGCGGTTCTAGAGTCTCAAAAAAGTTAAATAATACTTTGTATAAATGTATGTCTGTCGAACTTCCTTCGCAACATACATAGCCAACCGTGCTAATATCGGAGGTGTGGGGGGGAAGGACAACAAACTAAACACAAAAAGTGGCTCTTAAGAACTAAAAAACTGAAGAAGAAGTTCATAGGCCTTTGTCAATCTACGACTGCCGGGTGAACGCCTCCCTACGTTACGCTGGTTGTGGGGGCTGTTTGACCAGGCTTCACCATCACGGGGGGCAGTGCAGGGAGGTGAACCATGGGGGCGGCAGCTCGCGAGCGGTTCAGATCTCGCTCGCTACAGATGTTAGCCATGGCCAGGAGTCAAAACTCAGGTCGCCAGTTTGCCAGGTTCACAGTGCCACTGCACCACCGCTCCTCCCGGCCATTGCCTCTGTTGTATGGCACCGTTCATAATGTAGAACCTGCTTTCATTCGTTATTTACCATACACACAGAGAGCGCTCTGGGCGATGCAGCGTTCCACCACTGAGGCAACTCAACGGATTACTGCAATTGAAGGGTCAAGGCTCGATTCAAGGATTCCGTAAACATTGCCGCGAACGGTAGCACCTCCAGTGGCTCCAGAGCTCTTGTGACCCCATCGCGTACAGCATACATGGATTAACAAAACATGATTCTTACACGCACAATTAAATTCACATATCCTGACATTTAAGAATCGATATTAACGAATGGGGTGTATCGTTGGCGCAGTGGTTGATGCACTGCGCAATGATCCATCGACACGAGTTCCATTCCCGGTGTTCGGTAAGATATGAACCAGAACCCTCTTCCTCACTCCCTCCCATTCCGCCCCATCCCCCCCCCCCCTTCACCCACCCGTACTGACAAGCGTGGTGAAGTACGATCAAACAAACCACACGATCAACACAATTGTAGGGAGGCCTCCATTCAGAAGTGACAAGAGGCTTGTCGATTATTAATATTACTGTCATCGCTGTTGTTATTAAACGATGAATTGATGCAACGTTACACCGCTGCAGACCACCCGTACGTAGCGAGCGCTCGCTGCCGGCTCGGCCAATGCTGGATTTGTTTTACTAACAGCTCAAGAGTCACCCAGGGTGGCGGCAACATGAGAGGGAAAGAATGGCCGATCACAACAGATGGTGCGCGGACTTTGGCGGCGGTGGGATACTGACAGCGAGGGTCCCGTGAATTGTGCATCCTGGGAAACCGGGGATGGATCATTTCCACAATGTATTTATATTCTTATAAATTTACACAAGGTAAATGGAAACCACACACACAAAACCCTGCAAACGATTCAGGGAACTTGTAAACTCAAATTTAAACGTTTATATTTACCTTGGATAGAGCTGTCAAGACGTCCAAACGTTTTTTTATGAACAGGCTAACCGCCCTGGTCGTAGTTTTTTTTTAAAGGATATCTTTAATACAACTTAATTTCTGCAGACAAACGCATAAATCTGGCCAAGTTAGAAGTCGTGGCAGTGCAGTAGCTCACAGTGCCAACAATCAGTGGTGCATCATCAACCGAGATCGATTCTCAAAGCTCATGATGCGTGCATCAAATCGCGTATTCAACACCGGATTTATTTGCCATTTAACACATCGTCATATGCATCGGGTTCGTTACTTACATCCAACCGAAATGCAAAAAATAAAGAGTGGAATCGACACCTCGAATCGGGGCACCCAGGGCGTGCACTGCTAGCTGCACAGCACATGACTACGGCATTTTGATCGTTCCCTGAATTAATTGATCATTCCCTGAATTAATTGATCATTCCCTGAATAAAAATAAAATGACCAGGACGTTGCCAAAACTAAATTGTTGGGGGTCAGCGCTAGAGGACTTCCTTCACTTTGTGTGGCATCGGCATGAACACATTCAACAGCCGCAACAATGTCAACGTATCTTCTACGGTGGAAATCTTTTTATCTGATTTGATCTGGCGCGTGCCAAGGGGCGGACCCTGTCATACAAATTTATCTGCGCAAATTACTCATCCTACCCGCTCCTGCGAAGCGCAGATGAACACGCCATGTGTTTAGTTTGTTGTCCTTCCTCCGCACATCCCATTAGCACATTTGGCTACGCACGGTGCGAAAGAATTTCACTACACGTACCTGCACATGCAAAAACGTCAGACTGTAGTAGGATTACTTTGGGACTTCCAGAGATCACGCGTGGTGACCCGTCCGAGTAAAAGGGCGCGAGTGAACAGGATGAATTCGGTGCCCCTACTGGGTCATTCACTGGGGTGACGCGATGAGCCGTGGATATTTTGTGCGGATCGATGCAGGAGAGGGCAGTCTCGCTGCGACGACACTCGTCTTCACGTTACCAAACAGCAGAGGGCAGCCAGGTGAAACTAGTGAGCACTTATTGAGGCCAACACTGGGGCACGAGTGAGTGGTGTGGTCCCGCACTGTGGTCGGTAGAGGCCTTCATCAACCCATTGCTGACGTTTACATAGCATCTCCGATTGGCTACGTACGGTGTGAAACAAGTTCAACATACGTACGTGAGTCAATTGTCTAAGGCTAAGTCTAACCAAGGGAGGACACCTGGGAATGGTTCAGATACCACATGCCACCGATGTCCTCCGTGGGACTGGTTTCAAACCCGAGTTTGGCTCGGTTCAGAGGGCAGCGCGCAAACCGCCGCAGCGGCGAAGTATTGGCAGTGAGCAGCAATCGCCGAGAAGTCCTGATGGGGAGGTAAAGGGGCAAACGCTTCCTGAGACGGTCACAAGCTGGACATTATCGACAGCCTTGCGGCAAGGACAGATAGAAGGGAAGACGGAAAGAGGAAGGACACGGGTCAGTTTTGGTGGGACAATGCGAGCAGTTGAACCGGGCGACTCACCAACGAGGGACCGCTTGCAGGTCGCAAAAAAAATACAGACGCTGCAAATCGCTAAAATGTGGAAAGCATCTGCCACGGGCATCAACCCTCAGTTGTTTTGAGGATGCCAAAAGATGAAATGTTATGAAAACGTACATGGGGGGAGGGGGGGAGGAGGTGGTGGAGGGGCTGTATTTTGCTACTTTATTATAGAAACACTTAATCGGAAATGAGACGAGACAAGACGAAGAAAGAGTGGGCCCTCATCCCGGGGGAAGGACCGCGGTGCGACCTTTCGTCCCAGAAACCTCTGGATGAAATATCCCCCCCCCCACCCCCACCTCCCCACCCGCCCCACCTTGTAGTTGTGCACGCTCAGGTACTTGAAGTATCCGAAGAACATGCGGAAGAGGCACACGACGATGGTGAAGAGCAGCACGATGAACGTGAACACGGTGATCTCGTTCCTCGGGCCTGGGCGGGGGGCGCGGGAGGAGGACGAGTAGAAAGAAGTTCAACGACCAACAATGAACCCCGGAGCTCGCGAGATTTCCAACAGACAGCCAGCCGCCGCCGCCGCCGCCGCACCGCGTGGAAACGAAAACGACGACAGCCAGATTTGTTCATGGGAACGCCGAGCGTTGTGTGCTTATTTCCCAGGGCTCGATGCGCCGGGTAGTTTTTTCTTTCCCCCAGAGAATACAGGCAACGCGCAGGGGGTGCCAGAGAGATCGTGGCGGGGTGGTGGAAGGGGTCGGCGGGGGGGGGGGGAAAAGTGGGGGGGAGCAGAGTGGATCCCTCTGTGTTCCCACATGCATCCCCCTCTCTCCCCACAATGCACAAAAATACAATGACAAAGGTCCCCCGTATAGCCTTAATGGACTTTTGGGGCAAGTGCTGTTAGCGTGTACCTATAAAGGCCGGCACGGCGCAGGAGAAGGTGGGTGGCTAGCAACAAAGCCCACTGCGTTTGTCTCCCAATGGCAAAGTTCACACACCGAAGCAGGTCACTCATTTGAGGCTCAAGTCGAGAAATAGGGGAGGGCCCAGGACTGCTTCAGATAATCAACACTGATGGTAGCCATGGGCAGAAATCGAGACTTGGGTCACCAGGTTCGTTTCTCAGTACGCTAACCACTGTGCCACCGGTCCCCACACGTTCACATGTGCACGCGCACACACACATACACACACAAGGAAAATCCCTCTTCTTATTAGTGACAAGTGCCCTCGTATCACCCTATACCACAGGGCTCCTCCTACCCCCACTGGGAGGCTACAGGGCCTAAAGAGGAAGGGAGTAAGAATCTAGGCGAGGCAGGTTTTGGGAGCCAAGTAAAGGGAAAGTGCTTAGAAAGGTCTAGTTGTTGAATCGGTGAATGAACAAATGAAAATCGTCAACTATAATAACCAAGTGGCCACCGATTGAAGCACCAGTGCGTATTTGTATTATTATTTTTTACTTCTGAAAGTGACGCCTGTAGAGATTCAGCGCACATGCTCACCGTGCGATATTCGTGGTCATGGGGGGAATGGTGGCGAGGTGGCTCGCTAAAGCGATGAGAAACGAAGCATCGTTTCACCACCCCCACCAGCCCCAGATATCACGTCGTCCTCACATCGCCAACCATCGGCACAGACGCGGCGGCGTGCGCGACAAGCGGTTCCCCCCCCCCCCCCCCCCCGAGCGGTCTCTCACCGAGGCGCACGACGGAGTAGAAGAGCAGCCAGAAGATGCAGAGGATGGGCGCGGCGACCACCTGGTTGATGGCCGAGCAGTGGATCTTGCGGTTGAGCTTGGAGGGGATGTACGCATAGTAGAGGTTGTAGCGGTCCACCATGTGCTTGAGGAGCACGTAGATCACGCCTGGAGCGGGAAGGGAACAAATTATTTCGCAGAAGAGTAAAGGGTTTCGTCCAACTGGGATGAGACGATCCACTTGGTGCATTTGAGAACACAGTTTAATCACAGGCGGTCGAGACCCGGATTTGAACCCAAGTTCTCAGCGCAGCCACCTTGGTGCTACGGCTTGGTGTCAAATCCCCCCTGAGTCGAACGGGCCACCCCAGCTACTGTTACAAGGCGTCATTATCATCAACAGCCGCGGAGCGGAGGGAACAAATTATTTTACAGAGGCGGAAAAGTCTCGTCAAAATCTGAATTATCTGTGCGCGGATTTTAATTGCCACGGTTAGCCGAGCAGTACGGGCTCAATCACGGTAGCTGAGTGCAGGCCCAAAGAATTCCAAGTGGCCGGCAACAAACAGCAGAGTTGATGGTGTTATAGATAAGAGCTAATACGTTTGTTGAATGCAGCGCGATTACATGAACTTTGGGAAGACAGATGATGGGAAGGGAATTCACCATCGCAAGACATGGACGGATGGGCGACGACGGGGGGAGGACTTCATCTATCAGCGGATTGGCCATGAACGTTTAATAACACTGTGTGGTACAGGACACCCCCCCCCCCGCCCTCCCCCCAGCATATATATAAAAGAGCCCCACTGGAAGAGATCTCAAAAGCAGTTCCATGAGATCTCCTGGCGTGGGACGTTCTCCAACACGACGGGGCACAGCGTGGCTTCGGGCGAGAGTTCTACGAGCACACTTCGTCTTATGACGTGACGCTGATAGAGCGTTTTGGGGGGGGGGGGGGAAACGACGTGAAAAAGATGCAGCAAGAAGAGAGGCCATGGGGGGAATCGCGCCTTTGCTTCTGTGGCATCTGCCAAAAGTTCGTTGGGATCTTCGAGTCCCGCCCAAAGACATTTCTCTTTCAGAAGGTATCTTCAATATCAATTCAGAGCCACTTCTTACCCAACCCCACGCACCCCCATTGTAATTTATGTAAGGCGCCTTGAGATTCCATGAAAGGCGCTATATAAGCTGTTATTATTATTATTATTAAAACGAACTGACCTTGGAAGTAGTTATGCGACCTCATATTTCAGACGCCGTCCCCTTGACCTTAACAATACTCCCCACGAGAGATCCCGATGGAAGCAAGCAACATCGTCTTTTAAGTCCCATTACTTGCATGGGCTCAGCCGCTCAGATTAATCTTTCTCCATGTGCTTCTATTCTGCGCCTCTTCTCTAAAGTCTCACATCCACTGGCCTCGTATTTCATTCCACCACATCCTTCCATCTGACCGCCCCCTAAGGTCTCCGTTACTCCTCCTGCCCTGGCGGCATCTCCACAGTCCCTTTGTTACGTGGTCCAAATGCGCTCAAATTTAGAAAAACTATCCGCAGATCACTCCGCTGAGATTACAGATCAAGTTGAAGTTTAAAGCTTGATATATACACACACATATATCCATTGGAGTTTTTTTTGGGTTAGCTCGCATGAATATGAATGTGTTGTTAAACCCGCCACCGCCCGACACAGCCAATTAGTAAGGTTTGTCACGTAAAGAAAACATGCCAATTCGTTACCAGTTTAACATAGCACATTTAACTTTCGAGTATGACGTTTCGCCGGTAATTACAACCAGCATCATCAGGCGACAGCCAGAGTTGTGGAGAAAGCCTCCTGTTTAGGTCTTGTGTATATATAAACATATAAATACACATTGCCCCTGCTGTGTAAACTTGGCAAGACCCTCCTGCAAATGAGTCACAAGATTGAAGTGAGGCTTTCCTGGGTAAACAAGCGCACTAGCAATAATAATGATGACATGATTGCTGAATTATGCTAATATCTCACGGCCCTTGGCAACTTTCCAGCTTAGGGCTTTCCAAAAAAATCCATTATTGAGTAAACAAAACGAGCGAACTCGCACACTCCGCCCGCCCAACCGACCGACATCCACGAGCAGAGAACCCCTCAACGCATTCAATAACAAAGCCGGCATGGGACGAGGGCCGTGCAGAGTTTCCCAAGCATCGCGCGCACGCGCGCGGTAAGCGATACCATCGCACGCAGCTGGGTCAAGTCCACAGGACAATCCCCTGCTCCGAGCGAAGAATCGGGTCCCGGAATTCGGTAACGCAAATATTTCCCCCGCAATAAGTCTCGGCGAACGGGGTTCAGGGAGGATGGCGGAGCGGGACGAGGGTGGGGTGGGAGGGGGGAAGGAGCTGGGTAATGAAGATGGGTCAGAAGGGTGCAACAGACTAAAAAAATTAACCCGTAAAAACAAAGTTTTTCACTCTAAATCCATTATATGCGTGGCGGCTAGAGTCCTCTCGTCCTCTGGCTTGAGATGGCTGCCACCTATGGGTCAGATGATTGTCTGCCAGCATTAAGCAATTGGTAATTAAATATTTAAAACATTTTCCCTAAACTGTGTCAAATTTTGGAAATTTTTTTCACGAAAATAAATTGTCACGCACAACGAGTCTGTGTGGAAAATGTCAGTTCGATTGGATCACGGGAAGTGGGTTAAAAAACGACCGAAAGATTTGCACGGTCGTAAGCAAGCAAGCAAGCACGCAAGCACGCAAGCAAGCAAGCAAACTTAATATAAAGGATAAAAAAAAAGACCTTCACGGTTGTCGTTGTCGTCGCGAACGCTGCTTCATAACAAGGGATTCATTTCTCACCGAAATATTTTCCGGGTCTGGAGTAGCCTGGAGTAGGCACATGTCTAGTAGCCAAAGTAATAGCGAGCAGTATACCCGATGTGGTGTGCAGTGTGTCTAAATATTTTTTTTTCCCGTTCACCGACCCAGCTGAAATTAAGGGCGGCAGGTGAATTTGTTTTTGGGCGGTGTGAATTTTCTCCATGGAGCAGAGCAGGAAATTTATGGCGGTCTGCATACTCATAATAACTCCAATTAATTAACCAGGAAAGCCTCACCGAGTCTCAAGACTCTCTTTCAGGAGAGTTCTGCATTGGGATGTTTGGTCAATGAAGGATTTTGTTGCATTTATTCATCGCTTAAATTCCAAGGCATCTCTAAGTGCCAATAAAAATTTGGCTTGTGGGAGGAAACCAGAGCACCCAGAGAAAACCAACTCCCATGTCTGAAGGGATAACACTCAGAACAAATTAAATTCACTGAAAACAAGTATTTGTAGAATCTGTAGGCTGAACCCAGGGCTGAGTATCCATCTCCTGGTAAACTCAGTCCCACATTCTACAACACCTGGCAAGCAATGGCTGGTTACCCAAACGATTAAGGTTATACAACAGCAAATTAAGTAATGTTATACAACTCTCCACGACCCGACACTCAAGAGGCCTTCATCTAACAGTATAAATAACATGGGGTTATTGATTGTTATTATTAATAATAATAGCAATATTAATGACAATGGAGGCAAGATACCCTGGGGATAGCTCTCCGACACCCAAGCTAACACGAGGTGCCCTTCAGTTTCGTCTAGGAAGACTGTACAATTTCTCCGAGTTCAGCGAGCAGAGATTTATTAGCGAAAATGGAGATACGAGACAAATGACTGCTCGCACACGCTGCCAAAGCCGTTCCCTTTTGAAAGTGGAACGGGGGCGGGGCGGGGCGGAGGGTTACAATCTGTCACTGTGGTTTTTCTTTAATGCGTCAACGTCGACTCACAAAATAAAAACCCCCAGCGTAAAGACCCCCCCCCCCATCCCAACTCCCCCCGGCCACGCTGCCGGGCTGCCGGGTCGCCGCGACGCACGCCCTCGACAACGGGGCACGCCAGGCCCGGCCGGCTGTGGCCAGAAACGGCCACTCGGGAGGGACGGCGAGCCGCCAACGCGTGGCACGACCCGTATCCGTAGCAATCCGGCGTGTATTGGGCTTGTGGTGGGGGTGGGGGGGGTTCGCCTTTGGTGGCCTTTCCTGGAGGAGCGAACGCAGGCAAGGCGGAGGAGCGAGCGTGAAAATTGACATTAACACGGAGGCGGCGGCGAAGGCGACGTCTGGACGCGCTGAGAAGCGTTCCCGCCGGTGGCAACGTCCAAACGATTCGAGACGGCCGCTGCAAAACGATCCGAGAGTGTTTCTAAATTTGACTGCGAAGTTTCCTTGCAGGTTTGAGGCGAAGCTCATTGTGCGTTAGGCCTCCTCCTCCTGCTGCTGCTGCTACTGCCGCTGCTGTTGGCCTCCCCCACGCCCGACCAGCACTCACTTGTCTTCTGTTTGCACACCAGCAGTGTTTTTCGTTACGGTAAACATTTATTGTTGCCTGGTGGGGTGGGTCATCGTCGTCGCAGCGCAAGCCAAAGCGCCGTGTCCGGTATAAACACAAACGCGCGCGGTTGAGCGCCAGAGCCAAAAATTTGGGTGTGCAAGCTTTCCCCTCCTCATTCCAGGCCTGGCGCATTCGTGTGCGTGTGTGTGTGTGCGCGTTCGTGCACACGTGTTTGTGCGAGCGGGTGTGTGCGCGCGCGCTCTCGCATGTGCGCATGCGATGTGGGTGTGCATGCGTGCGTGCATGTCGAATAATCATCTCAGTCAGCCAACCCATGACACCTGGGTCTGTCCCGAAACCTCCTGTCAGCGAGCCTTCGACACTTCATGTGGCCTCAAAGTGCACCTGGCCTGGCACGGCACCGTGGTGACGTCACCGTCAACTTAGTGGCGAATGGCGGGTATTAGTGGTATATCTGTGGGCAGCGGGAGAGTGGCGATTAGCGCACTGCGCTACGAACCCGGAGAATGGAGTTCGATTACCAATATTGGTGGCAAATATTTGAACGAGTCCTGGGCCTCCTGTAGGTCGACTCAGCCTTAAATGAGGACCTGGTGCAGTGTGTAAATATTGCCACTGGGGAGACAAAGATGGTCGCGTGTGGTACTGGCCACCCACCCTCGTGTACCGTGCCGGCCTTCATAGGTGCTGCTCATTAACAAGGCTTGCCCCAACAGCCTGTGTAGGCTATACGGGGGATCTATGTCGATGTCTTTTGCACACTCACCGAACACGACAATGATGGGGCACGTGATGCTGTAGGCCATGACGACGGTGAATACGGTCATCATCCACGCATACGCCTGCCCAAACTGGAACTCGTACGCTTGCTCCTGTCGGTCGGACAACAAATAGTCAGTTCAGTTCTTGTCAACGTTCCGATCCGGCTGTTGTCAGCGTCACGTTACGATGAGTCCAATCGGACAGCTCACAGTGAATTGCGTTGATAGAATGGTTCCATTGAAGGAGATTTTACAGAACTACTTCTGAGAACCCTTTAAATGATTTTGTCCACAAAAAGGGGGCAGCACTTTCCCACCTGCTTTGTAACGAAAAAATATTTGTCGCTTTGACCATTAAGATTGTAATTTAGTGAAACAAAGTGCAAAACATCTTAGAATTTTTTTTGTGTGTGCCTGGTTCAATCAACTCATGACACTTGACAGCTCAGTGCCGTGACCTGAGAGTCTGGTTGTGCTACCTTTGGGCTGCGTGTCGACTCCCCAAACAAGGTCAAGGAATCAACAGCATGGATTTCTGGGGGGAGTTCCAGACTTCGGGGGCAGCGGAGGAGATTGAGTGACCTCCCACTGAGCAAAGGTTGAGTTGACAGAAAGCCTTGTTTGCTCATGCGGAGAGTGCGCGAAGGAGCGTAGAAAGGCAGGAGAGGAGCATGAAAGAGCAGAGAGATGCGGGGGAAGAGATAGGCAGGGACGAGTCCACGGAGGATGTTGAAGATGGCGAGTGAGATCCTAAACTTGATCGATGACTGGACTGGGAGCCATGGGGCGGACTGGCGTACTGGGGTTGACGCGGTCTAATTTATTAAGGGCGTGGTTGGAATTGGCCAAACATTTTGGATCATACGGAGTTGGAGATGATGGATTTGGGGAGACCACTACATGCTTGAGCAGATCAAAAACGAGATCGTTTTCAGCCAAGAACAGTGCGAATGGTCTACTCCACAAATCTGCCTAACATTTTCGAAACACTTCGGTGAACGTTATCGATGCTCTCAAAATAAAACAGATACGAATCAGTATCGACCGAATGACTAAGTGTGCCCATTATTGTCAGATCTGGGTAGTTACTTCAGTGGGAGACCACCAGAGCTTCCCAGGTGCTACAGGGGTGGCACTAGCAAGGTGGGCAGCAGATGGTAGTGCTCTCTCTCTCTGGGATTGTCCACTTTCCTCCCACACCAAGCCAAACACCCGTGAATAAAAATTGACAAACATTCCATTGTAGCAGGACAATCCTGAACAACACTCTTTCGAATCAATACGGCTCTCTTGGGTAAACGATTGCCATTAACTGGCACTTGTGGTTGAGTATCAGCGTAGGGGCCCATTGAGCACGGCAGTGGACGCGTTAATCGAAAAGGCATTGAAGACATTCATCATTCAGCTTCCCATGAGGCTATGGTTTGGTTATACCAGGGGTCGGCAACCAAAATAACAAGAAGAGCCATTTCTTTCCAATTCGGTACAAAATTCAGTATTTCAAGAGCCGCAATGCATCTGAGTACATACTGTACATACGTACATATCGTCAAGAAGCAGCCCGTAAAGAGCCGCATGCGGCTCCGGATCCGTAGGTTGCCGACCCCTGGGTTATACGCTGGAAGAACATTGCCTGCACCACAACCGTACACCACCGTATGGGGAATAGCAGCCAGATATGGTTGCGGTTGGGGGGGAATCTCGGTCAGATTCAACGATGGGCTTCATCGCTATTTTTTCCGAGCATTTCGCCACTGCAGGCGCCATCGGCAGATTCCCGCGAGGTCACGCTGCCACCGCCGTCGCCGCCGCCACCGCCACTCTCGCGGGCCCTGGGATCACTGCCACCTGCTTGACGTTCTTGCGCTCGGCCATGGATCTGGCGCTGCACAGGCGCAGGGCGTAGAGCATGAGGCCCGGCACGCGCAGCAACTCCATGGCCGTGCCAATGAAGCCGGCGGTGATCACGAAGTTCACGAAGAACGCGCCGTTGTCCGGCAGAAACACGCACCTGGCGGGGAGGGGGTGAGGAGGGGAGAGGGGAGGAGAAGCGGGGGGGGGGGTGCAGGACAACACACGGTGTCACCGCGTGCCGTGGGGTCACCCACGCCATGGTGAGGGCGGCCAGGAGATGGCATTGCCGCAAGGGGGCTCGTGAGCCCATCCGTGGGGGCCCTTTGAGCGTTGGCCGTCCTGTTTGCCTCTCACGGGAAGCCAAACGCTCTTTAATGGAATTGGCCAAACATCCCAAGGCTTTCTTGGAAGAATAAAGGACATTACATTATTATTTTCTAGTCTCCACCATTTTGCTGATCCACAATCATTCGGATCAATTTGTTCCACGTGAAAAGAAACTGGTCGAACATTCCAATGCAGGACCCTCTCTAAACAAAATCCTAAGGCTTTCCCGGATAAAAAAAATTATAATATCATGATTATTATTAGAAAAAATAATTTAATTGCCATGATGCACATTGCCCCGAGGTCAACTCAGCCTTAACAAAAACCCGACACAAGACAAAGGTGGACATTGTGTGCGTCTGCTGGCCCGCGTCACCAAGCCTGCAATGGCGCCACGTCGGCCTCAATGTGCGTTCGCCAACGGCACTTGGAACGTGTCTGAGGAGACGGAGCGATGAAATCATGTCGAGTGCCGGTGATAGATGTGGGGAGCGGTAGTGTAGCGGTTAGGGCACTGCGCTACGAACCCGGTGACCAACATCAGTGGCGATTATCTGAAGCAGTCCTGGGCCACCCCCAGGTCGACTCAGCCTCAAATGAGTACTTGGTGCAGTGTGCAAAAAACGTTGCTACTGGGGAGACAAAGGCGGTCGGGTGTGGTGCTGGCCACACACCCCCTCGTGTGCCGTTCCGGCGTTCACAGGTGCTTACTAACAGCACTTGCCCCAACAGTCTGTTTGGCTATCCGGGGGATCTTTGTCTTTTTTATTACATCGCAGGATCGTGAGAGGTGGTGACCATTTCTGCCATCATCCAGCAGTGGATTGGTCATGGCTGCTGCTGCTGCTGATGATGATGATGAAAAGCACTTGCTCCAACAGCCTGCGAGAGACGAAACGGCCGACGTGTGAACCTGTCATATGTAAGCGTGGTTTACGAGGCTCGAGAGACGCGTGCCGAATGCACGCACGTGATACACAGGCCTGCGTTCAATTCCCATCGCTCCTTCGCAGGCTCAGGCAAGACATTACAAATTAATGTGGAGGGGGAAAAACAAAAAAAAATTCTTAATTCTTGGCAGTGATAACGACGGTCGGCTGATTAACGGCCATCGGCTCAAAGGATCCCCCCCCCCCGCTGGCGTCTGTCTCATAGAAACCGTGGTGAGGACCATGGCTGGGAACTCACTCAAAGCGGATGGATCCATCCTTCAGGAAGTTCTTGTCAAACAGCCACCGGAAGAACACGTTCAGGCTGGAAGAAGCAGTGGGGGGGGGGGGGGGGGGGTGGGGGTCAGGGGGAGTAGCGGTTAGAGGATTGTGCTATGAACACAGTGAGCAAGCCGAGTTCGCTTCAACATCAGTGGCGAACATCTGGACATGTGGACCAGTCCTGGCCTCCGATTTGTCGACTTTGGTCTTAAATGGGTACCGAGTAAGGTACGTCAGCGTCGGCATTGTGGAGACAAAGGCACAACCACCCCATTGTGCGCCGTCCCGGCTTTCATAGGAGCTCGCTAACAGCATTTTCCCCAAAAGTCTGTTAAAGGCTATACGGGGGATCTTTGTCTTTGTGTGTGCATGTGCGCTTGCTCGTGTATGTGTGTGCGTGTAAGCCATTGCTCGATGAAACCGAGCCCTGGCTTTTTCCCCCACAATAATTCATGCTGCACAAAATAATAAATTCTCAAGAGAAAAAAATCGTCACCACATTAAGAGATGAGGGTCTCAATTGCCATGCAAAAAATAAAAAAACATTTCAACTCATCGGCATTGCGGAGTCTTCTGCAGCATATATATATGTCCAGCAGCATTCATTTTTAAAGCACCAAACCCTGCGACTGATCTCGGACTTTTACGAGTGAATCAATTCATCGTTACACGATTTACATCCGCAGCTGTGCAATGGCGTGTCTGCCAATTAAGGAGCATCTGCAGTCTGGAGGCGAGGAATTTGCGGAGATGGCATTGAGGGTCAGAACGGGGGTGCTGGTGGTGAGCAACCCACAGCTGCCGCCCCCCCCCCCCCCCCCGCCAGGCTGGCTGCAGCCACACGAGGCCTACCACGTGGAATCGGCCCATGCTAATCAATGCGTGTACGCACGTTTGAACTTCTTTCGCACCGCACGTAGCCCCAACCGTGCTAATCGGAGGTGCGGGAAAAGGCCAACAAAACTAAACAGGGAGCACTTTTGCCCTGACAACACTACGCTTCTAACTTCAGCGCGTTCTGTCGTTGCTGCCGTTGCAAGAGCCTCTTGCAGTGACAGAAGAGACCGCGGGTGTTTTGTGCTAAATATCTTTGACCCGCTACTGGGGTATTTGAAAGTCATATTCGCCTCCAGTAAGATAACATGAGTCCTCCACCTCTACTTTATCGGATTGTAAAGCAGGCACGCACCAATTCACCGATTCGTCAATTAAAAGCAATTCTCATATTCACGATCCAACCATTACATCGTGCGTGCAAGACTCACGATTTATGCAACTAAGATGTAAATTAACAAATCAGAGTGATGAAAGCGAGAAGAGGAACGTCAGCGGAGGAGGAGTAGTCACTGGATGCAGCTGACACGCAGGGGACGTCGTGACACACGTGGCAGTGATTCGCAGGGAGCGGCTGTGAAACGGGCGAGCGCCAATTCGCCGTAGTGTGGAAGTGGAGGGACTACACGTAAATGGTTTCCAGAGGCAGACTTTGCAGCGGTGAGCACTGCGATGACCATGCAGTGCTGACGAGTCCTATTTCAGCAGAAACCGATCCGCAGTTGTCTCTGCATCACTGCTGCCCCTCAGTCAGTCACACATTTGCTGTATCAAGTGATAGCTGTATCAAGTGATATAGCTATCGTGCTGTGACGGTTCCACCTGAAGACAGAGGCTTGTGTTGCCTCCGAAACGTCGTGATTTTAATTTAATTTTAATTTTACTTTTATTAATTTTAATTTTTTAACTATGTGAATTTACCAAAAAAACCTAAGAATATGAATCCTTGCAGTCACGAAAGCTTCAAATCTAGAAACAAAGTGTATATTGATGGCAATCTAAGACGAGAACCACAATGCAGTTCTCGTCAGGAACTGCTGATGGTTTTTGAATATTTCTGAGGATGAGTGTGCTTTTTGTGCACATTTTTGTTTCTTGTCGTTTCAAACTCATGGTATTCCAGGCCTTCACTAGAATTCAGTTCCGATGGGGGTTTTCTCATAATTTACTAATTTGATCAAATTTGCCAAAATTCGACCATTTACCCGCAAACCACTCAACTGGGATCACACACGACAACATCGTTTCGCTGCTGTGAAAACCACCGACACAGACCGAGTCTGTGAAACGTAGCAGCGACCTTGCCATTAATATCATCGCACTACGTACACTCGTGGTGGCGATGACCACACGTATACCAACTCGTTGATTATTAATTACAGGGTGCGAAGCACGCGCAGCGCGGTCACCTCGTGAGCCCGAGTGACGGCAGGATGAGCACCATGAAGATGAGGAAGAAGTAGCACTTGTGCATCGTGGCGCGGTTTTCGCTCGACCTGCTCGCGGACGGACGCACGCACGCACACGATCGCCCGTTATTACGGTGCAATAAACCTACAATTAGGAAATGACCCGATTTTGCCTCGTGCCCTTTATATATCACATCCATCCGTCATCATTGGGTGAACCTGTCAAGTGCAATTAGTAAACCAAACCAAGGGGAAATTACCAGGAAGAGGATGGGGAGGAGAGGGGGGTGTATTTTATTTATTTTAACCAACAGCTAATGATGGTGATGGCAAACAAGACAATGGGAATTATTGTTGCAATTTCTTTTTCTTCATTTGTAACGACGATGGAAATCTCCTGCCAAGCTCCGGTTTTGATCTAAATTGCACGCGGGCATTGGGACTGTCGCCGGTGACCCCTCGCCGACCTTGACGCTGTGGCAATTAGCCACGGAACAGCATTTACGTATTTACAGGGGAGGGAGGGGGAGGGGACAAGCGGCGATAACGCCGTGAAGGAATTCTAAAATAAACAAAGCCATGAAAAGAACCGCGCACACACACAACAACAACAACGGCGACGACCGCTATTCGCCGATAAGTGGCTCCGACGCCAGCGAAGCAATTGTGCCAGGCGAGGTGCACTTTTGGGGCCACGTCAAATTAAACAAGCGCCCTGGCAGGAGGTCGCTTGATGGATGCAGGTGTTACGGGTGAACAGGCATGGAGGGGTTGACTGGCAGATGGTTCACACACAAAGATCAATTGGTAAAGCCATAAATCATATTAGTGTCCACGAAGAAAATGACCTTAATCAATTACTCTAGATAATTATAAAAGCATCAAGGTTATACGGCACTTTCACACTTAATCGTTGCCCAGGTGTTAAATACAAGCAATAGCGGTAAAGTGCGACAATTTATAAAGTTTTTTTTTAAAGAGACCCAACTACAAATTGATTTTTTTTAAATCCCAGTAATAACTTAAAAAAACCCTCTTCAATTGTGATTTTAATACTGCGATTAAAAATTCATGTCATTAATTTTGTGGGCGGGAGGGAAGGGGGGCTTGGGTGCGGCGTGGGGGAAGCAGGTAAGTTCCATAGATTGAACGCTCCAGTCATTGGCCACCACTGCTAGCCGCAGCTCACAACCGCGAACGGTCAGCGCTGGGCTACCAGCAGCAGCAGCAGCAACAGCAGCGGAACGCTCGACGCGGCCACGTCACCTGGTCCAGTGGCCCTCTAGAAACACCGAGTAGTAGACCAGCAGCGGCAGCAGGGAGGAGAAGGTCCACAGCAGCAGCGTGGGCAGAAACTGGGTGATGATGGGGCTCTGCGGCGACACGGCAGCGGACGGACCGGGGTCACGTGGCGGTCACGAGCCGGTGCAGAACACCCACGGCGGAATGAGACGACGGGAGGACGGCGTCCCAAACGAGTTTGGGAAAACCGTGCCGCACGCACGGATTACGTGACGTTTCCCAGCACGCGGTTTTGTCTTGGGAAGTATTTAATTAGCAGCGCGGGAGCTGAAGGGCCGCTGTCAGGGAGACACGTGTTTTACGAACATTTTCGTCTGGTTTGTGTCTCCAGATTTTGGCAAACAATTTTTATCGATGTGGCTAGTTTAGGTAAGTCTGGCCACAAGTCCCTGACAGCAACACAACTTTATACTTAAGTTTGGTTAATATTGGATCATCTTCGTGAGAGTTACAGACGGAAACTTACAACCATCGTTGGAAAGCATTAAAAACAAATACGTCTTAAATCATTACAACTCGAAAAGTCCTCCAGATAAAAACACTCTGACGTTATCCAGATTTTTCTTCATTCTAACAAATTCCCAACTCTCAAACAAACAACAATATCAGGGAACGGCAGACAGAGTTTCATAAACTTATGAAACCCTGTGGGATTATCACTGAGAATCCCTTCAGTAACTTTTTTTTATGACCTCGGTCAAAATTCAGAGGTCATCCATCGCTCACCATCAATTCCACAGCTGCCTGGGTTGCTTCCAAGTAGACTGAGCACCAACTCTGCAGTTTACGACGAGTCTGGTGAACGCAAGTCTGGTGAACGCGAGAAGGCGGCGGTACAAACGCGCGCACGCGCTGGGGCGCATGCTGACAACCATCACGCGGCGGACTGCCCCGACTTACGTTGAGGCTCTCGACCGGCTTGGTGACGTTAAACTTGTCGATGGTGTTGACGACGATGGACGGCGTGGAGAAGAAGAAGAGCAGGATGAAGAGGAAGGTGTTGAGGACGATCACCTTCACCCACCAGGAGAAACCTTGCACCGTGAGGTTCTCCCTGCGCCAGCGAGGGGACACGCGTGGCGCCATCCTCGTCACGACGCTCCATTCCGCAGCAACAACCTCGCTTTATTTTTAGCTCCCTTTTCTCTCAATGACATTTGTCATCGACAAGCTGTCACGATATGGACAACATCGCCACTCGGAACTCTCGCCGCAGCTAGCAGGGTATCACGCGGCGCCCGAAGGCTTTGCAGGGTTGCGAGTAGACCGCGAGTAGGCCATGTGACCAGCTTTAACCACAGAGGTATACTGGATGCGGTGTGCCGGTTGTCGACCCGGGCCGGAATCGAGCCCTGGGCTTTAACCGACGCGGTGGTGCGCGGTGCCACCGCGCCGTACCCAGGGGCCCGCCGCGTCGACCCCGCGGGGGGCCTCACCAGATGATGCTGTTGGGGTCCGGCGCGTACTTGACGCCCCAGTGCTTTGAGCGCAGCATGTCGCCGAAGCTCGAGGTCTTGGGGCTCCCCAAGCAGCGCAGCTTCTTGTAGTCGCGCATCACCCTGCCGGGGGGGGGGGGGAGATGCAGCGTCGGTCACAGCGCACTGAGGGGCTCAACGCAGTGAATTGCGTCATGATCTCCGAGTACCCACTATCTAAAACTAGTTTTTTTTATCTTCTTGGTTCTTTCGGTAAAGTCACGTAGAAGGGAAGTAATAAAATAATAAAAATAAAACATAATAAAATAACGTCGTGAGAATTATTTTATTATGTTTTATTTTTATTATTTGATTACTTCCCTTCTACGTGACTTTACCGAAAGAACCAAGAAGATGAAGCCCTGCAGTCACGAAAGCTTTAAATCAATATTTTTTTAAATTTTACCAGGTAAGGCCCACTGAGCTGTGCAGCTCTTTTGCAGAAGCGACCTGGCTGTCACAAATGACAGCTCAATGAAGCGGCTTGTCACTTGGAGATTTACAGCAGCCAAATACTCTTAAACGCATGTTGATTCTAAATGTGGAGGGGAAAAGCCCGCAGAAAAATCCATACGACCACGGGGACAACATGGCAACTTCAAATATACAGGTGTCAGGGTCGGGAATGAACCCATGACCTCCTGTATACAAAGCGAGGTGAGTTAACATCTCGCCACCGTGGCACCCTGCATCTTTCACTGCATCGCACGCTTTCTTCAAATATTAAGAAGCCACTGGACCTATGCACTTTTAAATCACAAAGTAATTTCTTTAGAACTGCTTTTTGTGTTTAGTTTGTTGTCTTTCCCCCGTACCTCCGATTAGCACGGATGGGGCTACATACGGTGCTGGAAAAAAGTTCAACGTACATACATACACACACTCATTCCTCAATCCTTGTAGACCCCCTTCAAATCTACATTAGCCTCTGCTCTGTCATGTCAAGCGCCTTGAGTGAAGGCACTTCATAAATTACGTTAGACATCGATAAATACAGATTCTCAATAATTGATTATTTTGGGGGGAGTGGGGGAGTTATAGCTTTATATTGTGTAAGTATCATGTCAACGTTTACCTAAAACCCTCCGCGATCCAAACAAATAGAGTTGCTAGTTCAAGGTGAAAATATGTCAATTGATTTGGCTTTTCAGCAGTTCAATTACGTTGCAAAACGAACAAAATATTTTTAACAATTTTGTGTGACGCTTCGCTGAAGATTACAATCAGCATCATCAGGTATTAACAGATCCCAGCGCCCAAGCTCAGGACACTGTGCATCAAACAGGACCTGTAAGAATCGCCGTGTTTTATTTATTTATTTCTCAACGATGTATGTAACTGGGTTCAAGTGACAACGGCCACTAGAGGCTGCTTCACTCGACCCACAATGTAAAAACAAAGTCGGTTCGAGGCACTGACCCCAACCGAGTCGTGACAAATTCAAGTCGGTCACAGGAGGGCTTGTTTAACCATACTTCACCACGCCGATCATCGCGGGCTGATAAAGCAGGGAGAGACCCTATACCTATTACCCCGCACCCCACCCTTTACATAACAGTTTCTTGTAATATTGCACGTCAAGTAAACGCGGCCAAGGCTCGATACACTCCTCATGTTAAACAAAATACACACGTGGCACGGTTGTTTCATTTCAACGCGGTTTTGTGTAAACATCGCGTTTACTTAATCTCAATAAAAACACCGCGATGCCGCGGAGCGAAGCGTGGCAAGGCAGCGAAGGTGTAAAATGCCGGTAAAAAAGAAATTAATTCCACGAGGAACGTTTGCGCAAAAAGATGGTTCTCAGCCGAGCGCCAAAGCGCTAAAAAATTAAGCATCGCTGAATGCTCGGACTGAAGAGGAAATCCTCTCTTGGCTCACGGGGGCCCCGCTTATAATGTCAAAACGGAGGCGGTGACTCGGGCTCTTTGATGTGAGGGCAAGCGTTTAAAACCGCGCGCCACACTCCCGAGCCAACACAAACTCACAAGATTGAAAATTAAAACACACCCGTCGCTTACGATTTCCCTCAAGCGAACCACGATCTGCTCTGGCGCAAGTGCTCGCTAGCATGCGCGCTTTCTTGCTCCCAAAAACGAAATTAACACCGCGCGCCAAAAAAAAGAGGCGCAGGAAAAGCTGGAAGCTTGTGTAAACGTTTGCGCTAATTCGGCGATAGTGTAATCACAACGAGCGGTTGGACGCGAGAGCTCCACATTCGGAGGGCAGCGGCGGAGCGAGACTGGATTTAAAGGGGAAGGAGAGGTCGTGCCTGTAAAGGCCACGGAAAATAATGAGCGTGGGTTTTGACCGCCGTTGCGTACGTAAAGGGGTTACTCAGCTGTGTAGCTAACTGGTGTGCAGGCGGTGCCACTGCACTAGGTCCGAGGCACAGGGCTACAAAGCAGAGGGGGAACTGGACAGGGGACCTGCCCCTAAGTAACGCAGTGTTGTTGTCAATCACTAACATCCCACTGCGGTTGCAAAGGCCTCCCTCATTTTATTCCATTCCTTCCTTTCGTTCGTTATCCAGTAGTGGCGTCCGAAGCCTTTGATTTCGTCGCCACTGCCATCTCTTCCAGCGTCATCCTCCTGTTTATTTTTTCCCCTCTCTCAGCAGAAGAGTCTAATTCAAGCACTGTAATACACTCCCGCAGTTAATTTTGCCTCTCATCTCTGGCCAGTTTTTCTCTCGTGACGTGGCCATGGCCATGACCACTCGATTTCATTTTGTTTCCTTGCACCGGGGCCCGTGCCAACCACGTTACGCCAAAAAGCAGGCACCGCCACTCGCTCACGCAATTCCCCCGTGCGTCTGAGTGACCCGCCAAGGGCGGTTCTCATCTGCCAGGAAACCGAAACAGTTTAGGGGCTTGAGAAGTCATCGCCCGATCCGTTCTACAAAAGCCAGAAACCAGCGATGCCTTGGCTAAGAAAAATACAAATGCCCCCGGGTGCATTAGTGTTTAATGCTAAAGTAAAAATATACAAATTCATATTTACACATGTATTTAGTAATTAAAACAATTCACGTGCACTGTATTTCAAGACAAGTTTTACAAATAGCAAAAATAGAAACGGGTGCCTGCGCGAAATGGCCAGGAGATGGCACCACGGCAGTGAATTGCGGCATGCATCTGTGCAGCGCTCCGAGCGTTGTTGCCATGCATGCGTGCGTTTTCTCCGAGTTCTCCATTATTATTACCACGTGAGGTCTGCCAAGACTGTCAATTTAACACAAAAAAACGGGCATGGCAATGCATAAAACGAAAATATCAATGACATTTATTATCCGGGAATATTTCATTTATCCTCAAAGCCCTTCTTCGATATGGGGTTCTGCATCGTAGTGATTGACCAATCTATTTTCGAGGGACGTTTTTGCATGTGGGACAAACAACACAGACAGGTTCGCAGACCTGCTCCCCCGTATTACAATCTCCAGGCCACCCGCAAGGCACAGCGGGTTTGGGAGGTTTCACAAATCTCCGTGTGACCCAGCAACGCTGGGTTCCAAAGCGGTAGATCACAGGCGTGTCGCCACGCCGGCTTTTCAACAACGAAAATAAGACTCGTGGCTTCCCAAACTGCAACTGGCGGTGACGTCCGCAGATCTCTCCCGTGTGTTTTCCGGTTGGACCCGTGTGTTGTTCGGCACAATGTCCCGTCAAGGAGCATAAAACCATCACGCGAACTCCGGTCATCCTCGCATCAGCGGCTTTGGACTGGCCAGTCGAACAAAGACGGTCACCGCATCGCGCGCTTTCAGATGCGCTTCTGCGGCCGTCTGGAACGCTCTCCCCCTTCTGATATGAGGAAGTCAACTTGAGCTGTGCACTTTTAAATCTCGATTGACAAACTCATTTCTTTATATCCACTTTTTGCCTTTAGGTTGTTGTCCTCCTCCACACCTCTGATAAGCACAGCTGGACGGTGCGAAATAAGTTCAACAGATGTCCCACTCCAAATGCCTGGAGCCTCGAGGGCCGCCAACTTTGCACAACCGACGACGATTCCGGGCGACTCCGTCGTTAAGTCGTTTTCTTTGGACAAAGTTGCTGGGCGTGGGCCCAATTCAGCCAAAGCATCGAGCGGCCAGCAGCAACAAAGCAGGCCGATCCAAGTTGTAATAGATAAGAGTTGACATGTTTGTCAAATTGAGAGAGGTTAATATTATTGTTAAAAGAGCTTGGCGGAAATGATACGATTGGATTCGAAAGTCGAGCGGTCAGAGGTAACGAAGCAGAAAGGTAAGAGTTGTGACCTGCAGTGTGATGGAGCGAATCGTCGGACACCACGTGGTGTTCGACACGGCAAAACACAGAGTTGCACGGCACAACGCGCAAAACCTACGCAGTAGCGACTTCTGCAGTTTGGCGAGGACACCGCCATTCCCCCCACTACTGCTGCTGCCTACCCCCCCCTCTCCTCCATCTTCAACCAACTAACTCTCGGCCCCCCTTACCCAGCCCCCCTACCCCCCCCCCCCCCACCCCGTCAACTCCCACGGGCTCAACCCTAATGGCGCTGCTGTGCATCTGGGAGCGTTTAGAGGCCGTTCTTGCTCCTTATCTCGAGCATCGAGCACGGTGCGGGGCAGAGTAAACACACAAACCGCGCCGCCTAGCCGTGTAAACACACGCTGGCCAGCCCGAGGAGCTCCCACACGGTGCCAGGAAACAATCATCCTACCTCCGGGGCAGTGCCACTCTCAGCAGAACGGCCGGCCCGGCCATCGCGGGCACTGCCACTATGGGCAGTATTTTTTTATTATTATCATCGTCATCATCATCATTGACCATGATCAGTCTACTGCTGAATGAATGTCTCCCCAAGTTGCCGCCAGCCTTCACTGTCCCGTGACGCAACGATACAACCGGCACCTGCGCAAGAGCTGATGTCACTGCTCGCTCCATCTCCACGGATGACGTCCTCCCGGGCGCTTTGCTTTCACTCGCTTTGGCTGCCACTCCGTCGTTATTCTTTCCCTTTGGCCATCAACCCTTCTAGCTACGTGTCCTGCACAAGCCCACTTGACGTGTCTTCACAGTCAAACTCGTGTCTTTGGCCTGTGTATGCTCAGTATTCCATGCGTTACTCTTTCTGTCTCTCAGTGTAATGCCAAGCCGCCTATTTAGTATTCTATCCATGTTAAAACTTAAAAGGAGAATTCAACATGAAAAGAAAAACTAAAACAAGCAGCTCTTGCTTGCAGAGATTGTTATCAAGGCTTGTGTGTCCTGGGCTGTCCTGACATAAGGATTAAAGCTTGGCTAATGAGGAAAAAATAGGCATTCAAGTTACAGTCGGGTGCAGAGCTGCAGCGTGCAACGGTGACGTCACTGCGTTCAACCGTACGACTTCAGGGGGACATCACCGCAGCGCTATAACGGCACACTCGTTCACAACGTTGTTTTTCTTACAAACGCATTTTATGAACAAAACCATTCAGGTAAACAACACAGATGATATGAAAGGGGGTTGACACCAGCACAAACACATTACAGATGACAATGGAATGGAAACCTGTCTCGACTGCACATTTCTATAAACTCTCCAACCCCCTGGTGTCTTCCTAAGCTCTGATACCCTTGTTCACTTTTTATTTTATTTTAAATTTATTCTGTCCCACCCCTATCATCTCATTTGTTCTCTGGACAAACACGCGCGCAAACGTACGGTGTGAAAGAAGTTCCACATACATACGTACGTAAGATTATCCTTTTACACAGCAGATATTGTCGACGGTGGAGGTCGTGGGGAGCGGTAGAGTAGCAGTTAGGGCGCTGCGCTACGAACCCAGCGACCCGAGTTCGAATTCTGCTCACGGCCAACATCAGTGGCGATTATCTGAACCAGTCCTGGGCCTCCCCTAGGTCGACTCAGCTTCAACCGAGTACCTGGTGGCGGTGTGTAAACATCGCCACTGGGGAGACAAAGGCGGCCGGGCGTGGTGCTGGCCACCCACCCCCTCGTGTGCCGTGCCGGCCTTCATAGGTGCTACGCGCTAACAGCACTTGCACCCGACAGTCTCTTTAGAGGCTAGCTGGAAGAGCTTTGTGTTTGTGAGTGGAAGGCAGCAACTCACTGCGTGGCGCTCTTGTCGTCCTGGAAGGTGACGAAGGCCATGCCCAGGGGATTGTCGGGGATCTTCCTCTTCTCCTCCTCGCACTCGTCCGTCAGGCGCGACTCCAACGCCGTGTAGAACTCCAGCGCGTTCACCTGCGCCGGTGAGCAAATGCACGCCAAGCGGTCACAGCAAGCGGGATAATGACGGACTAGTGTGTGTGTGTACAACAGAGCTCCCATGTTCCTCATTCGTCTTCCGGTTGGCCCCGGGCTTTCTGCGGGTTACTCTCGGCAGATCACGAAATCGTAGCAAGGTTGAGCCTGGTTAGTACATGGAAAGTGTACCGCCTGGCAGTACCAGAGTCTGTCTGATTGGACTGTGAGGTGGCCAGGAGTTGGCGGTACAGCGATGGATTCTTCAATCGATTGGGTGCGGAACGTTTCGGTGTTAACCCCTCCGATGCGTAGGTTTAACGGCAATACACGTTTTGGATCTTCAGCCATTGGACGGCGCTGGCTGCAAGCCGATGTATCGCTTCGATGCCATCCATCCAACAAACTGTGTTGCTGGGCAGCAGTTAATCAAGGCGTACGTCGCCACCAGCACCACCACCGGCTCAAAATCAACTAGGTAGCGCGAGGCCCGGCAGTGCGGCGTACCTTCCTGTAGCCGTAGCAGTCACAGCAGCACAGCTCCCCGTACATTTTGGGACGCATCGTCTCGTCCGTCATGTTGTCGTAGTACGCCCGGGCCTTGGCCGCTTTCTTCCTGCGGGGGTTCAAACAAACGAGGCACTCAGGGGCTCATCGGTCTCACGTAGAACCTCCTTGCCCGGTTCGGGAGAACTCTTTGGACAGGAGCGTTCAGGCGAGAGGTGGGGGGGGGGGTAGGCCCTTGAGCCTGCCAAGAGTTTGCTGGCGGAGGAGGTAGGGCAGGTTGAGTGGTGGGTTCAAGCAAGTGTGCAGAAGGGGAACTGAACCGTAATATTTCATAGGCGAAACAGTACTGCAACATTTCCCAAATGCCATTCCTCATGTCCACGAGAGTATAGGATCTCTCTCTGTTTGCCAATTTCACAATTCAAATGCAAACTGTTGTTTCAACGGTTGAGCATGGTCATTAAAGCTGGTACCAGCAGGAATTTGGTGATGCAGTACAGTGTGTAAGATGTAAGAACTAGTAACTGGCAAATAACGTATTTGGTAATACTACATTGACGGTGGTGAATTAGCGCAATTAACAAAAAACACATTCGTCAACAGCACTGTGACCCAAACGGCTAATTGTTGTACGAGGCAGAGCTAATGACGTTAGAGGTCAGGTAAGCTTGTAACGATTAAGCCCCTATATAATTTGATGAATTGTCACTACCGGATTCCGTAATCCTTTCGCAGTGAATGCAGCACCTCTATCTGATGGCTGCAAGGGTCACGTGATTCACGCAGGGATCACGTGATACATACAAAGGGTCACGTGACACACATTTACGAATTGAAAATAAAAAAATCGACGAGTCGACAGATCGTCACTCTTGCCCGGCGGGGCAAGGAGCCGTTTCGATCGGTACCTCTCCTTGTCCAGCTTGATGAGCTTCTCAACGTTGTAGCAGAACTGCACGTCCGTGATGGTGCATGTCGGGTACGCCTCGCTGCAGGCACACGCGAGACCAAGCGGCACCGTTAACGCGGCACCGGATCCGCGGCGGGAGCAGTTTGTGTTGCTGCCGGAGCCCGCGCCTGAGTTGGGGGGTGACTCTCAGCTGGTGACCTCTGACGGTCTCGCATTAGGACTTGCCGTTTCGGCTGTACCGGTTCTTACACGTTTACCGCATGCGAGAATTTGCACTTTTTGCGCTTTTTGTCTCCAAAGGTTTTTTCCCAGATGTGTTCCTGGCATCGCCAGCCAGCGGCGAACCCGGTCTAATCGCGTGCGGCTGCAACCTGCACTCGAACCCAGCATTTCAGCGGTGCCGGCTCAGCATCTCCGACGCAATATCAGTCAAAATCAAGACTCGCGCCAACTCCTCTGGTCTCACGCCACTGCTAGTCAATCTCAGGCCGCCCACTTGCGAGCTCTGGTTCTGCTCATGCCTGACCTACGTGAACGTATGAATGGGGAGCTGCGCATCGCAGATAGACCCCTCTGAATGTTAAGTTTGTGGTCAGAGATCCGATTTGTCTTTTAAGACGGGGGCCCTTTGAAGGAGGCCCTCGGGCCAACAGCCCGCCAAAGAAGGCTCTCCGAGTGGCCCGGCGAGGCAAAGCAAAACAGATTAGTGAGATGAAGGAGAGATAAACAAGATAGATGACAGCTGCGGAATGAAGGCACAGAATAGTGCAATGAAAAAGGGATGAAAAAACCTGGAGGCAAAAGAGGCAGATTGGTGACATTAAATAGAGGTGGCGTCGAGAGAGCTGTGGACAACAGACACACATTCGTGAAAGGAAATGGAGATGATAAACAAGAGATAGAAATGAGAGAGCTGTAGACGAGAGATACACAGATTCGCGGTCACGTGCACAAACATTATGACCTCACCGCGCCACGTGGCGTCACAGCGTCCGTACAGGTGACACAACACTTCACCGCGTGACCTGCCAACACACGCTCATTCTTATCACGTGGCCCCGCTGGAAAACTGCAGTTAAGAGAACCCTGTGCTAGGGATGGAATATCCTCCAGTTTCCTGAAACCCTCCGAGGGGGGGCGGGGGGGCGAGGACCCAACATGTGCACCAAGCACCAGGGGGCCCCCCCCCCCTCCCCGCCCCCCTTCGCGTCCTAATCCGGCACCGGGCACTCAACTCTCACCGTGACAATCCCCTGCCGGACTGCGAGCGCGTGGCCTTTTTTTTTTTTGGTGGAAAAAATACTTCGGAATTAATAACACGCATGTGATAATTCTTGGAAATTAAGAATCGCTCGGCGGTGACTGTCAAAGTTTTTTTGGTTTAGCCAAAATAAATCTATCCAGTGTGGGTGGAGCAGAGTGTGGATAATGTATCTCTAATTGGATGATGTATAGATTGCGGTGTAGCTCGCATTAGTTTTTATTCGATACGTCGGGACACTCTGTGGGGAGCCGCTTGGCACGCCGGGGCTGAGCGCGTGTGCAGCGCCGTTCCGTGCGGGGATTATTATTTCATAAAGGAAATGTTTAGAGATTTACTGGAGGCAGCGAAGGTAAAACACGGCGAGGTATTTACCCCTACGGCCGGAAATAAATATACTCACTCATCATATGCAATTGCCAGCGCTTTATAGCGCGTTATTTTTCGACAGGCTTTATACAAAAACGAGTTCTCCATTTTTTGTTGGGTTGGGCCGCACCTCGTCCAGCACGACGTCCCGATGTTTCGCCCCCGTCGCGTGCTGGACGCTCTGGTCAATTAGTGAAGCTCCCAACGCGTGTGAGCACGTGAAGAAAAACGTCGGACAACATCCAGAAAAGAGACCAAGGGAAGCCACCCCTCCCATATAGCCTTTAATAGACTATTGTGGCAAGTGCTTTTAGCGAGCACCGATTGAGGTCAGTATAGCACATGACAGGGGGCTGTGGACAGCACCACACCCAGCCGCCTTTGTCTTCCCAATGCTGAAGATTCCTAGGACTGGTTCAGATATTCGTTACCAGTGTTGGTCGTGAACGGGACTCGAACTCGGGTAGCCGGGTTCATAGTGCAGTGCGCGTTCACCGCGACACTACCGTGCGTAATATGAACAACACGCGGTGCCGCCAACAAACAAATCGGAGAGCCGTCACAGCACAACCGCGAAAACCCACTCAGGGGGTACGCACCATAGGAACACACTCCACATGTGCACGTGCGATGAGCGCGAGTGTTACTTACTAGAAGTGGCTCTTTAGAATGTCTTCCTTGTCGAGGTGTTTGGGGATCCCGATTATAAAGAGTGTTCGTGACACCTGGCCGACACAAAAGTGAGGGTTCGGGTTAGGGTCAGGGTCAGTTGGGTAACGAGCAGAGGAGAGGAACAGCTGGCTGCGAAAATGCTCCGTGGCCTCTCCTCTCACCTCTGCAACCGCTCATCACGGGGTTCAAACGGCAGCGCAAAACCCCGGGGGGGCCTCGGTGTCCACAATCGCAGCAGCCCATGCGGCGTTCGCCGGCTGAGTTGCAGTTCGACGATCGAGACAGGATAATGTTTGTAAAGAATTATTCCGGAAAACTACGAGTGTAACTTCCCAAGAAAAAATATATAGGAAACGTATTTTACTCTAATATAATAACTTTTTTAAACACGCCCCCCCCCCCGCCCCTTCCCCCCCAAAGGTCGCAGTTTTCTGCGTAGGCTAGGCCGTGTAATTGCACGGAAAAGTACGTATCAAATTCCCACAGATTCCCCCCCCCTCACCCCCTCTACCGAGGAAGGTTGAACAAAAACGCATGTTCTTGCACTCTCTGCTGTAGGGCGCCACGGTGGCTATGAGATGTTAACTACCTCGCCTGGTACACAGGAGGTCGTGGGTTCGATCCCCAATCGGACGCTTGCTGTATATTTGGAGTTCGTATGTCTCTCTTTCCCGTGGTGACGTGGATTTTTCTCCGGGTCCTCCGTTTATTCCCCTCCTCATTTAGAATCATGCGCTTAAGATAATTTGGCTGCTATAAATTTCCACGTAATAAGCCATTTCATTGAGCTATCATTTATGGCAAGGTCGCTTCTGAAAAAGTGCTGTATAGCTCAGGGGGCCTTACCTGGTAAAAAAAAAACTGTTTAGTTTACTGTAAAACCCAACCTTAGCGGGGTGTTTGGTATGGCACGAGATAGAGACGCAGCACCACACACCTCCGATCGCGGTGTCCGGTGTGTGTGGGATCCGCGGCAGCTTTCCCACACGACGTGAGAAGTCGAAAAGTTAAAAAAATTGATGCCAAACTGGAAAATTAACCGCAGCGGCGGCGGACAATTTGAACATAAATCCTTCCCCGCTGGGGGCCTGATGGGAGGCGTGTACAAGGGGGAGAGGCGTGCGTCTCCGGGAGAAACTGTCCGGCGCAAATGTGTTTCGAATAAATAACGCAAACACGAGGGGGCTGCCATAGGATGGGGCTGGCATAGATTACACGGCGGTGATTTTTTTGAGGATGCAGCATATATTTTTATTGTTACTCTTAACTGGCTTCATCATTTCTTTAAAACTGCTTTTTGTGTTTAGTTTGTTGTTCTCCCCCACACCTCCGATTAGCACGGTTGGCTATGTACGGTGCGAAAGAAGTTCAACATACATGCATAATGGCAAACGATCAATCAGATATTCCCAAGAAACCGCGCCTTATTAAAAAAAAAAAAAAGGGCCAGCCCCAGCAATTGCTTTCTCACTTCACCACTGGACGAAGGGCTTTCACGAGAGAGAGTAGAATTATAGAGACCCTCAAGAGAAGGTATTTGGTCTACTCTTCCACACTGGCCAAACACCTTAGAAAAGCTCCTTTATACGATGACGGCACTATTAATCTTGTTGCTGGTGCAGTTGTTGCTGACCGGGTGGAGACCAGAAACGCGCCGCACACTTGAAAACCCGGCGGCCTTCACCTCACAAGCTGATGGCACGGGATTCGAACTCAGCATCTTGGCGATCGGCTTGGGCCATTCTGAACCCCCCCCCTCCGAACCACCCCGGTGGTCGCCTCTCCTACGGCGCTCTCTCGTTTCTTGAACTCTGACCCCATGGACCTCGGAAGGGGCCGGTGGTGGGTGGGGGAAGGGGAGACTCACCACTTCGTCCTCCTCGTAGGGCAGGTTGGCGCTGTGGTGGCGCATCACCAGGATGGTGATGATGAGGTAGAGGATGGCGAACATAGTGTGCAGCCACAGCAGTTTGTCCCTGCGCGGAGAGGTGAGCCGTGAGAAGCGGATGGAGAGGAGGGGGCGGGCGGTGGGGGCGGGCGGGTGATCAAAGATGGAGACAGCCGTAGTGAGACATTCTGACACCCGGGCAAGGTGCCATCATCTCCACCTCCCCGCTCCAACAAAAAATTGGACCGCCGCTGCCCAGATTCATTTCAAACGATTTGGCCCCACACGTTCTCGTGGCGTCTGCTTTGGGAGGGGCGCCTGGCGTGACCACCCTGCCTTTTGTGCGTACGTATTTTTACGCACGTACATATTTGTGTGTGTTTGGCTATATAAACACACGTGCGTGTGCGTATGTGTTCTGTGTGGATGCATGTGTGTGTGTGGGGAGCGGTGGCGTCGCGGTTAGCAAGTTGCGCTACGAAACTGGCGACACGGGTTCGATTACACTCACGGTCGACACCGTTGACGATTATCTGAACCGGTCCTGAGCCTCCCCTAGGCCAACTCAGCCTCAAATGAGTACCTCGCCACTCGGGAGAAAAAGGCGGCCAGGCGTGGTGCTGGCCACTCACCCCCTCGTGTGCCACGCCGGCCTTCATAGGTGCTCGCTAACAGCACTTGCCCAAAAGTTCTGTTAAGGCGATACGGAGGATCTTTGTCATTATGTGTTTGTGCTGTGTGTGTGTCCGCACGTGGTGCCTGTGCACACATGCATGTCACTCACGTGGACTCCAGGTTGCCTATTGTGGTGCGACCGAAATTGGTCGGGGAACCACCTGCGGAGTGACACATGGGACAGAACATCAACCATCAGGGCAGTGAGTTCCAGCAACTGGAAGAAAAAAAAAAACACATCTGACATATACACCAAGGGAGGTTAACACTGAGAGTACACATAGATTCGAGAATCCACCGCTGATCTGCTATCTCCCAGACACCTCGTAGGAAAGTATTTGACCGCACTCTCGCCACGCCGGTCAGGAAAGGAAACACAGACGCGGGAGCAAAGGAGTGCAGTACAACAAGGGATTTGGTTGCACTGCCCTCTGCGGCCCACCGCACAACCTAGTCTATGCATGGTGGTTACCCATCCAAGCACGATCCAGGATCACCCTTTGCTTAGCTTGTGAGAGCCAATGAGATTGGACTGTTTTAGGGTGATTTGGTCGCAGCAAAGCACTGAATCCATAATTGCCAGGGCTTGATTTCTCACTAAAATGTTGTTTAACTAACGTGGAGCAGGTGACACGACGCGACTAATGGTAGCCACGGCCATCGCCGGAAGTCAGTGCTATGTGGTGTGCCAGGCGTGGAACACTTCCTGGGTCGCTGATGCACACAGCAACCGGTTGAAGTTAAGCCCCGCACGCAAGAAACACACGTGAGCGTGTATGCATGTGAGGTACGGTAGTGCCACGACTAACACCAGTGATGATTATCGGAAACGGTCCTGGGGCTCCCCCTAGGTCGACTCGGCCTCAAATGACTGCCTGGAGCGGTGTGTAATCATTGCCATTGGGGGGACAAAGGTGGCCCGGGCGTGGTGCTGGTCACCCACCCCCTCGTGTGCCGTTCCGGCCTTCATTAGGTGCCACTCGCTAACAGCACTTGCCCCTACAGCCTGTTGAGGCCACACAGGGGATCTCTGCCTTGGCCTTTGCATGCGCCACAGCCACGGCGAGAGGAATACCGAACGTGGTGTGCCGGGTGCGGAAATATTTTTGAGAAGAGGCAGAGCAACGAGTAAAAGAATAGACTCGTGCCTCACCCGGCCCCCGCCCACCCCACGAGGCTGTGCACGTATGTCTGTTGCACTTCTCTCTCGCACCGCAGGCAGAACAACCGTTGCTCACCCTGCAGAGTGCCTGAGAAGTTGACGGGGAGGATGACGGCGAGGGAGAGGATGCAGATGATGATGAGGAGGGCGATGATGTGGCGCTGGAACGACAGGTAGTGCACCGCGTCGATGCCGCACTTGTGCTTGATCTCCTCATCCCTGATCGGCGACAACACGTGCACACGCACAAAGACCCCCCTTATAGCATCGACAGACTTTCGGGGCAAGCGCCGTTCGCGAGCAGGCACGTCGCACGAGGGGGTGGGTGGCCAGCACCACGCCCAGCCTTCGTCTCCCCAACGCTGATGCTTATACAATGAACCAGGTATTCATTTGAGGCTGAATCAACCTTGGGGAGGCCCAGGACTGATTCAGATAATTGTCAGTGCTGTTGGTCGCGAGTGTAAATCGAAATCGGGTCGCCGGGTTCGTTCGCTGCTCCACTTCCACTAACCACCCACACACATGCACACACGCGCACACCCACACACGCGCACACGCAGACACGCGCACACGCAGACAAACAAACGTTTGCACATGTACTTACAAAAGCACGCACACGCATGCACATTTGCGCACACACGCTCGCACATGCACGTGTTCATATACATTAATGCACGGAAACACTCACGTGCATGTGCACGTGCACACATGTACACAAAGGCACACACATGAACAATGCGTACGCACATATGCACACAAATACCACCACGCCGAAATGCATGCACAGTAACACTGGGACTCGCACCGGAATATTACCGAGTGATTTGCACAACTGATGAATGAACGGCTCTATCCTATTGTCAGCAGGCATGTAACTAACAAATGATTGATTCAACAATTTAAATCAATGGTCACGTTCATGATACAACCGTCAAATAGTGTGTGTGTAGCGTGCATGCATGCATGCGAGGATAAACAGCTTGGAGCAGCGGGGTAGCTCAGAGGTCAGAGCATTGAGGTCGGATCCTGGGTTTGAATCTGCGTCACAGGCGCACACGGCGATCGAACTGGGTTCCTCAAGCGTAGCGAGCGGGTTGATGGTGTGAGCCTGGTGACCAGTGACTGCACAAAACAAGCCGTCAGATTTATTTGGTTTCTCACTGAATTGTTGTTTAAAATGCTATATCTCTAAGGACACGGAGAGAAAAACACATTGTCCTGCTGTCGTGTGACAAACAGTCTCGCAGCGTGGCCACTTGAAGGCTTTTTGTTTGAGAATTCGTTAAATTATTTTCTTTCTATTTTACAGTTCTCCCGACACGTGGGTCGCCCTGCTCCGCGAGATTTCCGAATGGATTCACGGTCTCGTGACGTCAATAGCACAATTTAAATAAATCGGGGAAGAGGGAGAGAGCGAACGAAGATTAGGAAATGAAACTTAATTTGGAGCTTTCGTGAATGCTGGAATTACTCTTTGGTTCTTTCGGTAAAGTCACGTATACCTGACTTTACCGAAAGAACCAAAGAGTAATTCGGAAATGAGATGACAATCGTGATCTGTGATGCCGAATCGTTAACATGTTGCCTTGTTTGCAAATAGGGTCCTCACAGGGTTAAACTGTCAGGGTAACAGCTGCGAGCAGAGTGTTTTATGCGGCATTTTCACACGCAAAAAAAAAACGCAGTAACGAAACACATGTGTGACAAAATTCAAGCCATGTCCTAACAAGACCCTCCAGAAAAAACGTTTAGCTTTTCCAGGATAAAGATTTATTTTAAAAGTAGTCTGTTTTTTTTTTCTCTTACATAATAGTCGCGTCATTTTATAACACAAAAAACGCTCAAGGTTTATGACTTTTACCTCACAAAATATAAAAGTGAGTGGCAGAAAGTCAGACAGTGAGTGAGCGACCACATCACTCTGTCATTGCAGTTGCTCTAAGTAACATAATAGGGTTATTTGATGTTCGTTTTTCTCCATTCAACATCGCGATAATTTTCTTCCGACTATTTTGAAAGGGATGCAAAAAAAAGTTATTTTCTTAAACATTTGACGGCTGTTTAAACAACTCGGGTTTTTACAAGGTCACACGCTGTAAAATAAACCACCGCCACCGCATAAATCCGGGACGTTTACTGTGAACGGGCAATCACTTTGCTCGCAATTTTTTTTGGGTGAAATTCTACTTTTTTTTTTCCCCCCCTTTCAAATTTCCTAAAAACAAACGCCACGATGAATGACCCTGTCGCGATGCCCAGGCGAGAGAGCCGCAAACGTTCGGTACCGACACGCACAGCGCCGCCGCTTACTTGATCCTGAATATGGCGGTGAGCCAGGAGCAGAAACCCTGCACGGGGGAGGGGACGGAGGGGGCAGGGGGGGTGGGTGGGTGGGCGGAGGAAGGGTAAGAAATTAAAAACGCCCGACAGTCGTATAAAGTCCGGTGGGGCAGCCAGCGCTCGCTCGCCTAGCGTGCAAACACCCGACAGTGTGCGAACGCAAACAACGACGCGACATCGGTGGCGGCAGACAGGAATGTGGCACAATTCAACCGGCCCACGCGGCTTTATTCACCGGGAGATGCGTGCAAGCCCGGCTCGCTGTGTCTGCCACACGAGCAACAACCGTCGAGCAAACCTTCAGCGTCCGGTCCAATATTTTCTCAGCGGGTTGACGGAGTGGTTCGCTGAACAAAGCGAAGGGCTGACAAACGTGCGTCTGGTCACGCGCTCAGAAAGTCAAGCGATGCTTCGGCACAAGTGTGTGTATTTGCCTTTTTTCAATTAAGAATGTGTGCGAGCGTGTGTATATGTATATCATAGCTGGCCAAACACTCATATATATTGGACCACAGGGCATGGGCAAATGTTGGCACCAGTCCTGGCTGCCCTTCCCAAGCAAGTGTCTGTGGCTTCACGTCGCCTCCGTGCGGAAAACTTTGCACGGCACAAATGTAATCGTTATTGCCTACTACAACCACCACTAACCACACGATGATACACGCATGCATAAGTAATTTATGCAACTGATTTTAATCGGCGAGTGAGTCACACTGCAACTACAACGATGTTTAGAAGAGCTAGATAGCTGAGATTTGGCACTCCTATAGTCACGACTTCTTATAAGTTGAAAATATACAGATTAAAACATTTGAAATTATTTGCAAATTGTTTTCAGGATAATTGTTTTTTTTTTTACATTTCCATTTTTTTTATACCGAGGACGCACCCTGGAGTGGAGGTAGCGAAGCTGAATTGCAAACATCAAATAAACACACTTGGCACTCACAACACATGCATAGAATCGTGTTTGTGAGAACCGATATTTCACGGTTATAGATATTTGTTTTGCATATGCGACGGTACGTTAATGTTACAACGAGGCTAACGGAAAGCACAAAATTGTACAAACACGACCTGAAAATAAATAAGACTTTTAAAAAAAGTACCAAATCTTGAATAGAATCTCTGGGCGGCGGCGGGGAGGCGGGGGGGGGATGCGTTCCGTGACGTGCCTCACAGGGCTGCCCGTGATCCACCCCCACAATCATTCCATGACGAATTGTCGTCGTCCACGGCCGTGATTCTATTCAAGGCTTTTAATTTACATCCTACCAAAATCAAGCCGCCTCTAATCGGCTTCAGGAGTCAAAGAAAGCCCCCCCTCCAACCATTGCGTGCAACGTACAATAAACTGACAATCGGCGATTCGCGTGATTAGACAATCGACATTAAGCTACGAATCGATGTGTTTGCACGCCCGCAACGTCCAGTGCGTACGAATCGCAAAGCTGGCGATGGCGTTCGTGGATTGGAAGATTTGTCTAGACCAGACCCCGCTCCGTGTGCCGCCGCCGCCGCCAGCCTCGCGCGAGGGGCCTCTCTCTCAGAGCAGATTTAATTTTCACGCAGGATGACGAAAAGCTTTCCATTAACACATGCGTGCCGTAGTGGAGTCCCATTCATCACCCAGAGGGAAGGGCTGAGAGCGGTGTGCGGTGGGAGTGAAGGACAGCAGAGGAAGGAGCCGGGACAGAAACAACAACATCACACACGGGCGCGCACCCAGATGAAAGACAACAACAACAGCTGCCATTCCCTACTAAGTAGCGGTGACGTCGCAACAGGGTTTGTGCCAGGCTGTGTGTACTTTGAGGTCACGTGTCGTTTCGAATGCTCGCCGACAGGAGGTCACGGGACAGATCCCGATGTTATGGGTTGACTGTCTGTCTGACTGACTCAGTCAGACGGAATGCACACACAGACACTCAGACACACACGTATCCAGACAGAAGACACATATGCATGCACCCAGACAGACGACACACGCAGACACACACACACACACCCAAACCCAGACGAAAGATGCAGACACATGGCACGCACCCAGACACAAGGCACACAGACACACACATGCATGCAAGGCACACGCAGGCATGCTCAAATACAAGACCCCCATACAACAATAACACTTGTGGGGTAAGTGACGTTAGCGAGCACCTATGAAGGCTGGCACGACTGCACACAAGGGGGTGGGTGGGGGGCCAGGAACACGCCCGGCCACCTTTGTCTGCCTCGTGGAAATATTTACACACTGCATCAGGTATTAATTTGAGGCCGAGTCGACCTACACGAGGCCCAGGATCGGTTCAGATAAACGTCACTGATGATGGCTGTGAGCGGGACTCAAACTCGGTTCCTCGGGTTCGCATCGCAGCATGCTAACTGCTGCACCACCACTCCCCACACGTGGACACACACACACAGAGACACAAACACACACGGACACACACAGTCTCACACACACACACACAGACAGATATAAACAAACACAAACACACAGAAGTGATTCATCATGCACTGGTAGTGGGGGTGACAGGCGCGCGCACAGGGAAGGGTCGCTGGGCTGGTGGTTGAGAAGCGATGTCAGAGTTGGGTGGGGTGGTGAGAGCGATTATTGTGGACTGGGACGGTGGAGGGGGGGGTTGGTGATGGCAGTGGGGGGGGGGGGGCGCATGGGAGGGGGGGGCTGAAGTCCTTGTTCGCAGCCAAGCGTCAAAAACCCGGCTGCTCAATTAGCGCAATTATAACTGCGGAACCCCCAGAGACCGGCGAACACGCACCCATAGATTCCCTCGCTCGTCTGACACATTAATGATGCAAAAACACCCACTCGCAAAACGAGCGAGCGCCACGATTGGCGACTTCCCCGCGCGGGGGGCACATCTCACTCCCACGCGCGTAGCTGCGTCACGAGCGCACCAGGGACGCCCGAATCGCCCCGCCGCCCGACCCGCCCATCACCCACATGGCGGCATCGTCTCCCCGCTCGTCGTTTATACCCCCCTGCCCGTCACCCGAACTTGCCCGTCGGTTTTACCTCGACTCGTCCTCGGTCCCCTCACCCCGCCTCGCTCGCTCGCTCGGCCGGTCGCCCGCGCGTCCCCGCTAGACCGCCCTCGTTGAGACGCTGCCCGAATGGCGCCACGCTCCGTTACCGCCACGCAAAAACGAAATCGCAAACGGACGTTCAACCCCCAGCGTCCGTTTGCGATTTCGTTTTTGTCCGCCTCTTGTCGCTGGCAGTGCACGTTCGGTTTCGGAAGCGCGGGAGGAAGTGAGAGGGACCGATTTGTAACCGTCGAAGCGTTTCTGTTCTTACCGGGTCATGAGATGCAGTTACATTTTTGTTGGCGCAAGTTGAAGAAACCAAATGAAGGTTGCATAATTTTAAACGCCCCCCGCCCCCCGACACCTGACGTCTCGTGCCGACGGGAAAAACACACACGCAGTGAAGTGATTTCTTTGGGCTGGATTAACTTTAAAGTGAATTTCAGGCATCTATTACAAACCACAACGGAGGTAGTGGGGGTCATCACACCACGGCGCTCTCATTTAGCTCACCCTAACGAGGCGACTTCACGAGCAGCGACGGTCGTGTCCAACGCCTTTAGAGCGACCGTACAACCTCGAAGCTCGATTATTATTTTTTTTAAACGTAATTTTACAAATTCCCACGTCTGACCGCGGGCGTGCATCGTCAATTCGAAAACGAAGCCAATAAAAAAATGGCAAAGTGCGTCTTCGTGGCTCACTGCACAATTACCTGGTAACGAGCGATGGCCAATTGGAAGGTAATTATCAAATGCGTACAAATAAACGGCTTCCTCCGCCCTATCCGTCCGGCGAGCGATGCGGCAGCGGCTGAATTAACGACCGAAAAACCACTTTAAACAGGGCCCCCCGCCGCCTGCTGGGAACTCGCAAAAATTGGGACAGTTAATGCTCCTTAACATCCGAGGGAGACACCGCACTGCCGCGCGGCGAGAAAGCAGCGTTCAAAGTAGCTCGCCCTTGCGTTCTGGCCCTTTTCCCATCTCCAGTTGTTTGTAATTAATGCATTTTTAATGTAGGGTTGCAGTTTAATTTTATCCTTTGATTAAACAATTTGAGAGAAAAAAAAACACCAAGTTTACTTTTGAATTTAATTCCGCCCATCCTTTTTCAGTTAGCGGTTTTGCGCGTGTGTACACGCAGTATGTGCGCGCGAGTCTCTCTACAGGACCCATACTTCTGCTCTGGATTAAATTAAAAGGAGCAATTTGAACCGCAGTGGTTTTCTTTTCTTTTTTTTGCAGATTATCTCTTCTCAGTGAGCTCCCAATGCCGAATCGTATCACTTTCTCCAAATTTGGTCACTCATCGCCGTACAATTCTGGGCGTATTCGCATGGATGTGTACACCGCTACGCACTGGCCCACCAAAAAAGGGTAGAAAGCTGCAGTTTTTGTTGTTTTTTTGCCGCGAGTGTGCCCGTGAGCGCGTGTTTGTGTAAAAAAGATTATTTTTTCCAAAACACAAAATCGTTCAAACATCGACGCCCACTCGCGCGGCGATGACGATCGCTGCCCCGCGGCGAAAGCGCGCAGATTTCAAACACTGCCCTTGACGAGGTCGATAAATAAACGAAAACAGGGCGGCGGTGACGGCGATGACGATGGTCGTGACGGTGGCGAGCTCTTCAAACTAAATGCTCTCAAAAAGCTTTCACGCTGCTGAGCAATTGCCAACAACATATCGCACAATGGCAAGCGACTGTTTGATTGCAAGCAGGCGGGCAACGATCCACGATTCATTGGTGCAAGCCAATTCTCCGGCCCTACGATATGCGCAGACGAAAAGTGCCTGATCGTGTCGCACGGAGTACGCGCGTGCAAGCGAACAAAGACGGAACGGACGAGATGACGAAATGGAGGCAAGCATAAAAAAAGAATCGATCCTGAATTGCAACGGCTCTTTGAATCGCCGCTGAGATTTTGGCGGGGCCGAAACGTTAAGGTGCCTGCTCTTAAGCATTTGTACGACAAACGCGCGCGCCGAGCGATGATGAGATGACGGTGGTCGAGTGCTACGCCGTTTGGGTTTGAAGTCATGAATTTGGGAAAGGGGCCAAGTGGCTCAGAGGTCACAGCACTGAGCTGGCGATGCAGAGGCCCTGGGTTTGAATCTCGGTGTCGAGTGCCCGTGATTCGAAAGCGTGGAACGAGTCGAAGGCCTCAACCTGGCTACCGATGACAGAAAAAAGTCAACGCACTCAATTTAACTTCTCACTAAATTTGTCTAAACTTCTGCGCCCACATTTTTTGCAACGATAGTTTGAGTGTCATGCGACATGACACTCCAATTGTGGGAAAGTGTGACCCCGCCCGCCCCCCGCCCAAATGTGTAAACGATAAAGAGGCCACTTGAGATATTTTTTGGGAGACGTCCCATCAAACGATTCCGAGTGCAGCCATTCTCGTACACAATTAGCACACAGCTCTGTGAGATTTCCGAATTGGGACTTTTCGCCTCACGACGTCCGGGCACGGTGGCGACAGCCCGACACTGAGAGGCATGTGGACGGGTCACGAGGGGTGCGAGTGGCCCACCTTGTCCTTGCTCTCGTAGTCGGTGACGCTGTTCTGCGTCTCCAGCTGGGGGCGACTGTTCCTCTCCTTGTAGAGCCCCGTGAAGCTGCAGAATGCAGAGAGAGAGACACACCGCAAGGGCATAAGCAAAAGGGATTCATCAATATTATCCGGGTCGCCGGTAGACTGGAGTAAGATGACACATAAGCGAGAGGTACATACAAGATGTGCTGTGTCCAAATGTGGACATATATATTCTGAGTTGCTCTTCCAGGCAGACCCGGCTGTCATTAAGCAGCATGACAACCGCTGTAAGACGCCGGGCGCACTATCGCCAACGCTCAAAGGTGAACTTTGGCCCTTTCTCAATCACGAGAGGGCAGAGTGATGAAAGAGAGCGGGAAGGCATCGTGAACTCGTGTCCACTGCTAGCGTTCTCCAAGGGTGCGAGCGGGATTCATACTCGCAGCGCTCTGAAGCCAGTGGCTGGATTCACACAACTTATGACATCGATTTATAAGCTGCTACTCAATTCGTATCCATTACGAAACAGAGAAGTATGGTGTGCATGCAGGGATGATACGACATTTGGGGGTCGGGGAAATGCTAATGAAGTTCTGATGGTGTCATTAATAACTACAATCTGAAGATTTCGATTTAAAAACTTTCGTGACTGCAGGGATCAATACTTTTGGTTCTTTCGGTAAAGTCACGTAGAAGGGAAATAATAATATTGTTTAATTTGTATTATTTTATTATTTCCCTTCTATGTGACTTTACCGAAAGAACCAAGAATACAATCTGGAGCTTACACTCACTCTTACCAGTTGAGCAGTAGTTTGTAATTTAACTTGAGCGCTTGAGTGCCTCCTTGTTTACACCTGTCATCGGTTTTAGATTCACACTGCTTTTAGCCGAGAAAGCACGACCACCGGTTGATAAACGTGCCGTAAAAATTATAATAGCTCTTTAATAATCGTCATCGTCGTCATCATCTACGTACGTACCATCAGGCACATCCTTGAAAGGGCAAATGGGTATCAAGTAGCGCTCCGCTTGTTTTTTTTTTAATCGACTCTGAAAAGGTGTTTAAATTGGTGGAAAAGTGGTGTGGCGTTTCAATCTCTCGCAAAGCAAAAAGCCCGAATATAAAAAATATATTTACGGACACAATCAAAACGACTTGCAAACGAGCAATCGCAACACTGAGATCGCATGAAGATCGACAAAATACGAGAGTTGGGCAAGGGGATTCGCACTCACCAAAGCCGTTTCAACCGCACCACGAGAAGATATTTAAAAACAAAATCCTTATTTAACCAAAACAACCTCAAGGCCTTATTCAGGCAAATTCCTTTTCTGTCGGTGTAATTTTTGCAAGTGGGCGAATAAACTGGAGTGCCTGGAGAAAACCCACGCAACTCTTAGAAAACCAGACTCGTGATAAAACCGGAGTAGAGTGGAAAACACTTAGTGGCCAAGAAACAACTAATGATAATTTCAACTTGTAACGTGGGGGGGGGGGTCTCACAAAGTCATATTATCATATTATTACTTCTACGTGACTTTACCGAAAGAACCAAGAAGATGAATCCCTGCAGTCACGAAAGCTTTAAATCGAAATTTACTCGTGGGCTCTCGGAGAGGGAGAGCGCGACTCAGAGGTGCGAGAAAACAAAGAAGGCCGAGCCGGTGCCAAATTTCTCCCAAAGCTCTGCGGTCCTCGATATAGTAAGGTGTTATCGGCCAATGAATGAGTGTAGTTACAGGGGCAGGGCTGTTTTATTATACATCTTGAATTAATACCACACGGTTGTTTTTACAAACATTATTTGTACATGAGTGTTACTCTCTCCACACTGTCAGGGTCATCTTAGATCCAGGGCCTAAAGATCAAAAACGCATTCCGCTTTCTCTCATTTCCCGTGTCCAAAGCTTTAAAACGCTAACCCGTCGGCTCGGACGTCATGCTGCCACCATCGTTCTCAAGCCAGAACAGGCGGCCTCTTTGGTGCACGGATAATCAACTTGTGCTCAATGCCACGATTAGTATTAACGTTTTCCGTGCACGTCACAAAAGTGTTTTCCGCAGCTATTCGGTTACAGCGCAGTAGGGTCGGTGTTTTTATAATTTTTCATTGTTTTCCGCTCGACCGGTTGGTCGTATAAGCTATCAGTTTGATCCCAGAGAGGGCAATTTGTTTGCAGAATATTCACCCCGTCACTCGATACCTACCTGGTGGCAGCAATTTCTGAAAGTGGTTCGGCGCAATTTGGGCCAGCTCCGAATTTTCGTGATCAAAGCCACCCTCCTACCTACCTACGCCCGCTCGGCCACCCACGGCAAAAACGCGAATCAGCCGGGGCGCGCGAGATGCGGATAACACAGCCCCTCCTTGGGTGACGAACTGCTATAGATGATACAAGTACGGGGGGGGGGGTGTATTTCACCACACCGCCCGTGACCAAATCACCCGGATCACGCCAGATCTATTCCGATCTGGGAAGCTAATCGGGCTTGAGGCTGGATAGTGTTTGGATGGGCGACCACCACGAATAGAACGGATGGTGTAGCCTGCCTGCCTGCCACGTTATCAGCAGAGAGCTGTGTAGAAGAATATATTGTTCTGTTGTACTATGCTCCAACGTCGTATGCTCCCCCCCCCCCCACCATCCCAGTCTTCTTCGATCAACCCTGACCAGCGTGAAGTGTGGTCACACAACTCTCACCGCCTGCACAGCGCGGGGAGGGCCCTTGCACAGCAATGGGAAGATACAAACGGGCTCTTCATGTTACGTTTACAATTTGGAGAAGCGTCTTACGAAGCGCTGCCTTTCACACATTTAGCCGGGTGCTCCTGAGAATTGACCGGTGGCCCTAGATCGTTCGAATCACTTGAGGCGGACAGTTGCAATAAAGATGAGCAGCAAACGTACTAGTTGTAGTCCTTCCATCGGCCCGCGACCAGAGGCCTGCAAGAGACGCGCACACACGCCAAAGACAACGCAGCGTCAAAACACAGGTCGCTCGGAAAACGGCACACGTCCCCCCCCCCGCCCCCCCGTGAAAACAACCGAGGCCCAAGCACAATAGTCGCTCTCGGAGTTCGACTCCATTTGAGTTTTTACACGGGCGACCGCATTTCGCCGGTTCCCCCGGCTCTTGTACACGGGAGATCCGTGGTGCCGCGCGAGCACGGCGGCAACGACAGCAGCGAACAAAGAAGCGGCGACACAAACACGCGGCGGGTATTGCAGAGAACGAGCACAGCGTCCCCACCCCCCCCCCCCCACCAGGGAATGTTGCACAACAAACCTGGTATTCGACAGTCGAGTGCCAAAAAAAACCCTTCAATAATCATAAATCCATTCCCTCAACTGTATTAAAGTAATGTAAAAAGCGCAGCGACTTCCTCCAGTCTGCAGAGGCCACTACATTAACCACAATGTAAAAAGCAAACAACATTTTTCCATCAAATTGACTTATCCCCGAATCATTATCGCAAAGGCGAGACACGTTTGTGCGTGGGGAGGGAGGTGGGTGGGGGAGCAGGAGGGGGATGGAAGGAGAGGAGGAGGGGGGGGGATGCTTGTTGCCCCCCTCAAGTCGCCCACAAGCCGCGAGGAGACGCGGAACGAGCGCTCGGTGCCCCCTTCCAACCAAAACTCTCGACTTCAAAACGCTTTCTTTTTTCACTTCACTCCGTTTGAAATAAAACTCCGCGTGGCGGCGTCTGTAAAGCCGCTGGCTGCGGACCCGGGGTAAACGGCTCTTGGCTCGACTCTCCGGTCGAGTCGCTCGACCGAAACCGTGGCCGGTGGCAAGGACGCTAACCGCCGTGAGGAGCGCGTCCACAAAGATCCCCCATATAGTCCTTAACAGACTGTAGGGGCAAGTGCTGTTAGCGTCCACACACGCGCACACACACACGGCGCGCAATGACGACCGAGTTATTTGTTGCGATACCTTTTTTGTTGTTGTTTGTGCTTTTTTCTTTTGGTGCCATTTCTTTGATTTGTTTATTGATTTTTGATTTTGCTTGGTAGTAGGGTTTTCATAGCAATGTTTTTTAGTTCGATCGCCTAAGTATAAACGTGTCATTAACCCGCCACCACCCGACACAGCCAACCAAAAACATGCCGATTAGTTACTACTTCAGCACACCGGTGTGTTGGACAGTAAACCCACAACATTTACAGTTTGATTATGACGTTTCGCTGGTAATTAAATCCAGCATCATCAGGCGATTTTGCCAGAATTGTACTTACGCGATCTAACCCAAAAAAACCGTAATCATGAATAATATTGGCCGCGAAAGCCTAGGTGTCAAACTCAGTAGGGTTTTCATTTTCTTGCCAGTGGTTGTATTTGGGATTTGGTCCTCATGTATAATTCATGTACAACATTATGGGATGCTATCAGTATGAATGATGCTATATAAAATGGACGTGTTGTTGTAATAATTATTATTGACGGCGTTTCCCCACTCGATTCACATTCGCGCTCCACCGCGCAAATGCCCCATCGCAAGTTGCGCGGCCCACATCGTCACAACGGATTAACAGTGAACGAAGTTTGCTCCAGGGTTTAATACAAATACAGGGTACAGGAACTCCTCTACTTACGAACATTCGACTTACGAACTTTCAGAGACACGAACAAACCTGTCCGTATGTCCAGTTGCCTTTTCGGACCGAGAGCTGTAAGTTTAACCGCCACACAATAGATGGTGGTGGCGGCATCTGCATCTGCAGAACCAGTGGCATCTACATAAACTGGAGATTATACATCTTTTAGAACTATTCCCCATTTTAGTGCACATGCCGTATAACATGTTTGGAACTGACAGGAGTAAAGTTGGACTTCGAACAAATCGACTTGCGAACAGACCTCTGGAACCTAACTCATTCGTAAGTAGAGGAGTCCCTGTATCATTATTGATGATCGTGATCATCATCATCATGGTCATCATTTGTTATCAGTCGGCAATAGTAACTCCACTGCTGCATGAAGGCCTCGCTCAGAGTCGTCGCCACCATTACGCCTAGCCTCTGGAGGCCTCTGCCCAATGGGTCGTCTTTGGCCAAAAATTTTCTCGAGGCTGTCTTCTTTATTTCACTGGATGGATCCCTTACTTGCCTTCAAGTCTTCCAGGAGAATATAATTTGTGGAAAATGAAAATGCATTTGACTCAGAGGAAATGAAAGCAAGCCATCCCATCTCGGACAAACCGGGGGAGCGGCATGAAGAAATATAGAAACAATGAAAGCCATTTACAAAAATGGAAGAGCAAAAGAGATTGCATGTCCGACAAGGTGACACACGTCTTGGGCAAGTTAATCAAATTGGTCCAGCGAAACAAAGGTACAAATACGAATAGAGAATAATCAACCATCTCGGTTGATGACGATGACGATACATCGACAGTAATCAACTCGCGTGTCTTTGAATTCGCAAGCACGAGACCGTGGGCTGCTACTTAATTAAATTTGTCAAAACGCTCTTTTGTTGCTGTAATAATGTGCACACATTTCAGGCTGCAATGAACACAAAGAGAGCCTATTTTTACTCTGTCTTGGGAAATGGCAGCAACAAAAATCTCTCTTACGAGCTTCTCACTTCGGCTACCTTGAAAGAATTTCAAACGATAGCTCGGGCGGCCAATTTTTTTTTCAATTCACCGCACAAATCTTTCATCACGGGGGGAAGCGAAACAAAACGGCTGGACGACAACCTGGTTGAACCACCAACGCGAGCCGTAGGGCTCGCCGGGGGTAAAGCTCCGTCATCAATCTCGCGAGAGGGGGGGGGGGGTAAAAAACAGGCGGCCGTCCCTTTTCAAACAAGCAACGCGCGAGGCCGGGCCTTTGGGTAAACATTTACGGAGCGCCAGCGGGTCCTGGCAGCGTCTGCTCGCGACACGGGGCCCCCGCTTGCTTCGTCGGATCCTCCGCGTGTCGGAAAGGAATGGAAGGACACCCCCCCCCCCCCACTTCTCTCTCAACCCCCCACGCCACCACCCCAGGCTCCAGGATCCTATTTCAATTGGAGTACCCCTCCTCCCCGTTCCCCCCCCCCGCCCCAAACTCACAAAAAAATCCAAAATTTTTTTGGCGAGCACCGAATGTTTGTGGAAGACGTTAGAGAAGCCCCTCTCTGAGTTGGTTGAAAGGCAGCCGACCCGACGGAAACTCTCGCTTTACAGAGAGAAAAGGGTATCGAGTGTTAAATTGAGGATAATCGTCCGGAACGCGTGGGTTTTACTGCTGCCCTTCTCATTATTACGCCGGACAGACCGCTCGCCCGCCACGAGGGCGAACCTGCGTGATACAACGGGGGGGGGGCATACCCCCCCCCTCCTCCCCCACCGGGTTCAATTCGCGGTCACGGCCGATATCAGCGCCGCCGAGTGGTATCCGAGCCGACTCTGCAAGCCTCCAACTGACCGAGCGACGCTTACCAACGTGGTGAAGTATGGCTCAAACAATCCCCACGACCGACACAGCCCTCGTCCGACGTTGGATCGACAGACGGCTGCACATTACAAGTTGGACAGGAGATACGTTGGCTGTAAAAACGTTTTAGTTCCAACCCAAATGCATCTACTTGTTCAGGGTGCGTCACAATACCATCGATTTCACAAGTTTGCGACACGCGCACTAGAGTTCACACGCGCAGGGAACACCTCACACTCGCATCACTGCTGCGGGGCGGGGAGCGATTCACAATCCCCCCCCCTACTCCCGCCCTCCCCTCAGAAATCAATAAACAGCCACGATTCCTTGTCGAGATTGATTTTAAAGCAATCAATTATTTTTTTAAATTGCCGTGATTGTCACAGCAGCCGCTCGCGGCCGCAGGGACTCGCAGGGACCCTCCTCGCAACACAACGGGCTCCTACGTCCATGGCATTCAATGGCGCCCCTTTCGTGCGCTTGAGGATTGACTGTAATCAATGAACGGACAGATCATTATACACGCCGCTAGTCGTTACATTAGACCGAAAATCGCGGAAGGAAAACGTTGCCGAGCGCTCGCTGGCCCTCCACGATCCGCGGCGACAAAGCAGGCAGAAGAAGACGACAGTGGTCAACTCTGAATCGCAGTCTCTCATCCGCGCTCTCTCTCCCTCACCGGGAGTTGAAGAGGGCAAGAACAATCAGCCCGGCTCAATTTGCGCAACAAGGGTTTTCGGGGCAAAAGCTGAACCCGAAACACGTGGGCCAGGTCGTACAGATTGTTTTGGGCCCGAGCTCCATTTCTCCATCCGTCCACCTTGGTGGGCGACCTCCTGTCTGCAGAGTTCTCTTGGGAATTAAATCTTCTTCTTCTTCTAAGCCAGGCATGTCCAAAGTCCGGCCCGCGGGGCAATCACGGCCCGCGGTCAGATTTCATATTGCCCGCAGCTTCGGTCTTATGTGTTATTTATGGCTCGCTAGCTCTGTCAGAATAAATACATCATAAAACTCATGGAAATTTAAGGTATTCTATACAGTTTGTTCAATGTTATCTGACTGAATGAAAGGCAGAATTGCGTTTTTAGAGTCGTTCACGTCTGCCTGAGTGGCTTATATTTGGTTACATTGTCATTTGAAAAATAAAGGTAATTGTGGCAATGAAAATTGTTTTATAACAGTGTGTATTTCCACGTAACTTTTGTGGTTAAAACAATGTCAGAAGGAACTATTGGCCCCCGGACATCTTCACTTTATCAAATGTGGCCCTCTTTGCAAAAAGTTTGTATACCCCTGTTCTAAGCCAAAGGTCCCATTACTGCATGGAGGACGGCTGCATGGATTTTCTTCCTGGAACAGCTTCTTTCTATTAAACTACACGATTTTTATTTTACCAGGTAAGGCCCACTGAGCTATACAGCTTTTTTTTCAGAAGGGACTTGGCGACAAATGATAGCTCAACCAAGTGGCTTATCATCACGTGGACATTTATAGCAGCCAAATACTCTAAATGCATG